CGACCATGTGATTAACTCCCTTAGCTTCTATTCTCTATTTAGACTGTAGACGTGGGTGTTTGGAACGCGGTTGGTTATCGCGAAAAGAAATTATAATTAACACGGTTTTTCGATCATTTTCTTTTCTCTAAATATATATAGATTTATATAATAATTCATTTATTACACGATCAGATAAAATAATTTTCCCAAAAGAATAAATAATTGCAGACAATTTTTTCTTAAAATTTACCTTAAAAATCATGCTAATTGTGGGACAATATAGAATATAGAATATTGGAAAACTTTTATAAGAGTTTCTCTAATTAATATATACAATATATGTATCACAAAAAATATAAAAATTATGTTCGAATAAGTTTACTACATATAAATTTACATGTCAAAGTGAACTTTCGATTCCTATCTTTACTTTCAAGTCTGTCATCTTTGCTTGGTTACAACTGACGCAGTTACCTGATTTGATTAATTTAATATGTATTTTAATATAACAGCCTGAAGAGGACCCAATTGTTGGTCGAAACGTCGTTTCTTTTTTAATAAAAGAATTTTAACTTTGCCGGTGTTGGTCAATAGATTCCTTTCTAATTTAATTTTAAAATTCAACTGGCAATCAGATCACTTGTTTCGTTAAATATCAATATGTATATAGAATAGAATAATATACACAAGAATGATACTGAATAGCTTTGCCATTTGCGGGAAAAATGGCATTCCGGTACGTTGCCGCTTTTCTTCCTCACCCTAGATTTTTCACATTTTCTCTAGACGGAGTTGAGGCAGATGTTTTACATTAATAGTCTCATCAACACGCACAACGCAAGTTTTATCGCGTTCACGCATCTGCAGTTATCAAATATTCGGAGAATGCGCGATAAACGCTTCAGAACGACATTTTATATGTAACAATCGATCGGTAACTCTCTATTTTTGTTGTTACTTCTTTGCATTCCTACGATAAGAGGATCGAGTGAAATGAACATGAAAACAACGTATCATATATCTGAGAAAATTCTTGCGTGAGATAACGATTATTATGGGATGCAGTTACCACAACAATGCTTGAGTGAGACTAATTTTCATTAATTAATCAGATTAGTTTAATCACACAGAGAGAATATTTTCTTAGAATTTATTCTGAAAATCATGGTAATCAAGGGACAGTATATAGAAGAATTTTATGAGTTTTTCTGATTATTATTTACCACAAGAAAGATATTAATAATATCTACCATAATAAGATATAAAATGTTTGATTAATTTTACTATGTAACATCGTAAAATTTACTATGTACATATTAATATTTTTTATTGTGGTAAATATTAATCAGAGAAATTCATAAAATTTTTCCATTACCATATTGTCCCACAATTACCATGATTTTCAGGGTAAATTCTAAAATTCTCTCCCTTCAATAGTGTTCTTTTTTTCTTTATTACACAGGCTGGTATCATTTGGTGACGATTTTTCCTTAGTGAAAATGTTGAGAGAGGCCATCATTTTTAGCATGTTCCCAATTTTTGTTATTATGTATCTTTATAACTAAGCCTTATATTAAAATTCTATTAAAGCAAACTCTATTTAAAATTAACTGAAGAATGTAGTTCTGTTAATATTTTATTTCCACAAGGCTTAGTTTCCAAAAAAGCCTTTATCTTCAATCTGCTTATAATTCGAAAATTATTGGTGTCTCGATATTTTCGCTGAGGAAAATCGTCTCCGAATGATACCAGGAATCTACCATGAACTTAAAAACTTTCTCGCCAATTTTGGTACATCCTGTATATTGTCGTATTTATCTCGTTCATACGAAGAGACAGGATATTCAACACTATTTCTGTCGCGATAGAAATGAAAGAAGAAATATATAAAAAAATCTAGTTTCACATAAATTGTACACTGAAAAAGAATTTAACTTGACTAAACCTTTCAACTAAATTACTATTTTGTTAAAACAACATATATTAATATTTAAGTCAAATATACATTTTGTTAAATTTAATGTCATATTTAATTTAAATATTTTCATAGGTTTAATTAACAAAATAATATTTAGTTGAAAGATTTAGTCAGGTCAACAAATTTATTTTCAGTGTAAATTAAAATCTCGGGAAAAAATATTTGTTCGGGTTAGAAACTGTCACGAGGTCGTCATCTCGAGAGATGAGTGCAGAAAATAAGATTGAAGGGAGGTGAGAAGAGCCGAAACGATGGTAGAATGGTTCCTAGTGCAAGGTGACAGCCGACACTTTCTTTCCCAATTAGGCGGTTAATATAAGGCGAATTAAGTCAATTAGAGGAGAGTCGACTGGGTACAACGGCATCTCGGGCGCCGGCTTCTCTTTGCCGGTCATCGCCGGTGCATTTTCTGCCGACGAGGGAGAGAAAGAAAAAAACCGCACGAAAATATGCGCTGGCTCGACCTGTTTTTCGACGTCACGTTTACGTTGATCGCGAGCGAGCGTTTTCCCGATATTTTCTTTGCAACTTCGTCAGTTTATCGAGCCGCGACGTTAAGATGTCGAAATTACGATCGACGAAAGCGATCTTAATCACCGATATAAGCGAGTTCTCTTCCGACGTAAATAATTATTATACCGCGCACGTTCAACGGTAAGAGTGTAATTATTTGTGTGAGACGGTAAATGTTTTTTTTTTTTTTTTTTCATTAACGAGATTGTTGGAGCCAAAGAAATATTGCACTGTCTACTATGTATATGTGAAGCTGTTTCATGGTAAAGGAATGTCGACAGTGAAAATAATGAAGAAATGCTGGATAGAAAACAAACGTGCAACGAAGCAAGTTCACATTATCTCGAGTATAAAAACCCTCTATAAATAGTTCGTATTTAAATTAATGAAGAACAAACACAAGAGTTATTATTTTGCGTTATAAAAGTGTATGCATTATCATTATTAATTCTATAGATTATCGCAACGATACTCTTCATAAAATTTTTTTAATATTCTGTTAATTTTCTTATTTAAAATATTATTTTATTATTTTTCATAAGTTTTTTTTAATACTGTGTTTGATCTTCTTATTTAAAATATTATTTTGTTAATGAAATATTTGAGTTAAATGTAACATAATAAATCTAACAAAACTATATGTTTGACTTAAATATTAATATATTATATATTCAATTAACAAAATAATAATTTAATTGAACGGTTTAATCATAAATGAACATTTTTTCAGTGTACTAGTTTGGAAATTTAGAATATGCCTACAAGATTTTCTGCGTATAAAAGACATTCAACCAATATGATCGTCATCGATTGTTTTTTTCCAACGTCACCATGGAGCTTCGTTCAATCAATGATGAGGTAATTCGTTTCGAAAAGAAAAGTAAAGTCCCCCATAGCGCGCGAAACGAGGGGTTATTTGCAGGCCCGTAATAATTTTTTTCTTCCATCCTTCGAAGCCTGATGGGGTCGAGCATCGCACCTGGTTATCGATTAGAGGTTTCAGAAATAACAGACCGAAAAGGCGGGAACGCGTTCTCGAATTCGATATTAATTCCTGGAGCAATTACAGAGTAAATTACTCGAGGATACAAAGGGTTAACGGGACTCGCGTGCGAATATTTCTCGTGAAAGAAATTTATATCCTCGCCAAAAAAACGCGAGGGTTCATTTATATGTATATAGATTCTTCGAAAGAGTATTTCGTAATCAATTTTCGCAGCGTGTAATTTAAATTCCTACGCGCCTATCCGGCTGAATCTCGTAACCTTTTCACGAGTTACCTCATGGATTTTAAATGCACTGGCAAATTGTTTGCCGGTGATGCAGATGCAGATGCGAAAAGGGTGAGATGTATGATCGCTGAACAATAGATCGATTAACTCTGGCGCTTTCTACACCTGTCGCATAGGTTTAAAGAAAGGAATACAAATGTGAACGCGCGTGTCTTGAGAGAAAGATGCAGAAAAATATGCAAGCGAGAGAGCCGTGTACTGCAATTGAGAATTTCGTAACTGCATTGTTTCGTTCGAATAGATCCTTTCGCTGGATATGCACGAAAAGCGTAAGTCAAGATATCACATATACAGAGTGTCCAGCAGACTCAATGAAAACAATTCCCTGACTTTTTCCAATTTTTCAAGTTCAGAAATTCATCTTTGCCCTGACTTTTTAAGTATTATTTTTCCAAATATAATTTGCATATATCTATATGATAAATCAATTAAATGTTAAATCATAAAATTCTTGAGATATTTTTGTCAACAATGAAAAAGTTCGGAAGTTAAAACAAAAATTGAAATCAATTATACAATCTGTATTATGTACGATAATCAAGACAAACATGTCACTATAAACTATTTAAATAATCACCTTTTTTATTCATATTATATCAAATTTTTTAGTTTTATCTCTATCAAACACATTGAAATAAAATAACACGATGATGAAAATATAAATAAATTTATTATTTTTAATTCGACCAAAAACTGGCTATTCATTTATTGAAAATAAGTACACACATTCGTTTCGACCCACATTGTGGTCCTTTTCAAGTGTTGTTCTTATTCAGCAATTACATTAATTAAAAATAGAAACATGAAAGTTGTCCTGTCATATTGACAATCTGTTAGCTCATGTTTCTATTTTTAATTAATGTAATTGCTGAATAAAAACAACACTTGAAAAGGACCACAATGTGCGGGTCGAAACGTAGTGTGTACTTATTTTCAATAAATGAATAGCCAGTTTTTGGTCGAATTAAATTGCATCTTATTATTTGTGAAAATTTTATCACTGGCAATCAACAATTAATTGTGAAAATTTATTATTTGTTATATTTATTTAATAAAACATTTCAATTATTGAGACAAATATATAGAGTGTGAAAAAATCCAGATTAATAATAACATTTCCTGACTTTTCCCCGACAATTCCAGATTTATAAAATTCCCTGACAATGCCCGGTTTTCCAGATTTCCCTGACCGCTAGACACCCCGTGTACGAAGCGTAAGCCAAGATATCACATACCTTGCACGGTTCCTTGCTCTTGGTACGGCAGAATCCGGGCATCTTGATGCCGCCGATTGGAATCTTCTTCTTCGGTTTCTGCTCCTCGGACTCGAGGTCGGATGCAGGTGCAGCCCCGGTGTGCTTCGTATTCTCGGCGTTCAGCATCTTCTCCCTCTCCTCATCGGCGATCTCTTTCTTGTCCATGCTTTTGTCCTGATCCTGATTCGCTTGACTCATTCTCTTACTCCTGTAATTGAGAGCGAGTTGCTTTAAGTTAAGGCGTTTCTACGCGGAATTTTCTCTTACAATCATTCCCAAGTTAAATGTTTTAAATCTCTGAATCCATTACTGTTTTTTTATATATAAACGTTTATATTATTTTAAAATTAAAGTATTATTAATTTTTACGTTCATTTGTCATCAATTGTAATTACTAAAAATCAAAATTTCTATATTATAAATTTTAAAAGAATTAAACAAATTAATTTTATAAACAATTAACTGTAACTTAACTTAGTTTAAAAAACTTATTAATTTACTCAATCCTGCTTACAATTTACCTTGAAAATCATCGTAATCATGGGACAATATATAGTATCACAAGAATTTTATAAAGTTTCTCTGATTAAAAATGTTTAAAAATATTAATACGTACATTCCAAATTTTACTATGCAGGTACGAACATTTTATATCTTATTGTGGTAGATATTCTTTATTGTGATATTAATATTAATCAGAGAAACTTTTATAAAATTCTTCCAATACCATATTGTTCTACGATTATCACATTAATTTTCAAGGATTTTCAATTCTAAGAAAAAATTTTCTGACAGCACACATATCCAAAAGACGTTCAGAGGACATCCAGAGGATGTCATATCATTTGGATATTCTCTTCGGATATGTTGTACTGTTTAATTAAGGGGTTATCAAATATCTTAAGAGTAGAAATATTTATATGACAACATGGCGAACGAATTTTCAATTTGAACTCGCGTTGTATGCGTGGGATATTCAGTCTCTCTAATCGCATTCAATTGCTATTCAACAGTTGTTACACACTTGTTACGATACAAGGATGGACGATAAATTCTCCTCTTCGTCCGCTATTTTAATTCATGTTTATTCACTTTGATATACACTGTCAAATTATCGTATTAAAATCGATATTAAAATATTTCTCTTAATATATAGATGGAATAAAACATTTTTCAAGGTGACAATTTTTTCATAACACTCTCCATCAAGGATTCTCTAGATTACATGCCGCAGAGCACTCTACCGAAACCATCAACCAGCTTGTTTAATTCGATATTTATTGGTGAACCGATATCCTTTTACCTTGGAACATGACACTAAGGAGTGTAGAAACGCGTACAAAAATTAGAGTGCCAACGTAACTTTTCGAAGAATATAATCTTTTATAAAGAGACTTTTCTAGCATAGTCACAAATCAAATTTTAATTTTATATATAATACGTGAAATGTGCGTGTTTCCCGCTTGATCCTCCCTGACAAGTTCAAAATTTATTACTCGCGACAAAATTTCGATGCATCATATATCATTGCAATGATGATGATTTAAAGTCTCTGCGTGCATCAAATAATCTAGGAAATGTCACTCAAAATATTGTCCCTGTAGGGCGGGCTCGCTTAAATGATTTAGCGTGCTACCCCGATCAAATTTAATTTGATTTACCGCAGTCGGTTCAACCACATTCTATATCATCTCGTGACGTGTAAGAACGCAAATATATATGAATTTATCAAGAGAGAACATTGTAAATATTCGTTAAAATCGTGAGATAAATATTGAAAGAGCTAACAAATCAATAAAGTTATTAGAATTTTGCTTTTTATTTTTAACGAACTTTATATAACGCAAAGAAAATATATCACTATCGTTGCAGGACAATAAAAAAGTTAGAAATTAAATTTATTGCATGAATAAAATATTTAACACACACGAGAACTGTACAATTGTATTGTAACAATTAAGTCAACGAAAAAGTTTGATAGAAATATGCAAAAGTGCAGCAAATATACAAATAAATTTGATCTTAAATTGAAGATAGAAAAATTATTGATGTAATAAGATTAAACTTATAAAATAGAGAAATTTATTAATAAAATTAAAAGATAACACTTGTAATGTATAAAAAAATTATTAATTTTTTTAATTAACTATAAGATAGGATTAAATGTAAGAAGAAAAAAAGATTAAAATAATTTATATAGAAGTGGAGAATGTTATTAATAAATATGAAGAAATAAGAAGAAAATAAAGAGTAGAATAAAATGAAAATCAATAGGAAAGGAAAAGGAATGCGCACAAGATACGGAAAAGGGAGATGCTTGTACTGTTATCGAGTGAACATCGATTATTTACTAGTTCATAGACCGAAGCCACGCGATCGATCGGTTTACGTCTGGCTGTCGCAACTACTAGACTATTTGGTATGTATACTAGACCGTCGTCGCTTCGACTTGCTGCAGAAGTATTTTTATGCATAATCTATTAGACGAGAAAGAGAAAACACGTCTCGGGAAAATTTGGCTGTTTCTTTTTATCCTTGAATTTTTAAACAAATTTGCAATTTTTATTTTATACATTCCCATATCAATAAATCATTTAACGTTTAAAAGTACATATTAAATGTGCTTGTATTTTATATGATTTTCGTATTATTTTGTTATAGCTTTTTTAAAATTCATGTCAAAATCGTATTATCGCCATCTTTGAAGAACATATTCTATATTATTTAGGTTCGATGTTTCCAACTTCTTGGTAAGTTTTACTTGACAGGTAACATATTTTTATCTTTCCTAATTGTAAGATAAGTTTAATAGAGACAATACTATGCTACCTGTCGGGTAAAACTTATCAAGAGAACAACCAGCTCTTATAGTATTAAATATTTAAGTGAAAAGATATCGATATTCTATTAAGTTAGTCTCTTTGGTTGTATCGTTAAAAATTGAAAGACATCTTCTCTCATGTCAGGATCATTGCCCCGCTATCTTCTATTGCGAAAGGTGAAGGGAATCGAGCGTAATCACACTTAAAAAAAAAATAGGAAATTGAGATAGAAATTACTGTGCACGTATTGTAAAATGTTTTACAAAAATTATGTTTTATTTTATTCCTTTAACTGCTTTGCATATGTTCATTATTTATTTAAATTTAATTTAAATTTACATTTAATTAAGTTTCAGTCGTACATTTTTTCAGAAACATCGTTTAAAACGATAATGCGATCAAGGCGGAAATGTTATTCTCTAACGACTAGGGTCTCACTCTCATAATATCCTAGCAAAGAAAATTTCTTCTCTAGATGTTCTCTAGGTGTTTTTTTTTAACACTATACTTATATTCTTATACATACATAATTTTTCTTTTTTTATTTTGTTTTCCTTTTCTGAATACATATATTTGTACATGTTTATTTTTTGCATTCTAAATATATATAAATATAAACTAGTGTAGTTAAAGTAAATATAGATCTTATATGTATACAAAGAGAATTTTCTCTTAAAATTTACCCTAAAAATCATGGTAAAAATATGAATATGTATAAACATAGTAAAAATTAATCAAACAAATCTTATATCTTATTGTGGTATTAATATTTGTATTGTGAAAAATATTAATCAGAAAAACTTATAAAATTCTTCCAATACCATACGTATTGCTTCACGATTATTTCCAAGGTAAATTCTAAAAAATTCTGTGTGTATAAAATTGCAAAATCGCATATGATTATTGAGTCGGCATTAATCCATTTAAATTTTCGCAGCAATCGTGATATATTGTCTGAATAACCTCGAGATTACGTTTGTCTCCGATCGGATTCGGATGCAACAGCATCGTCGAGGATCACGTGGATTCGATCTCGTAAAAACAATTGTTCGATTCCGAACGTGTCGCTCGACGAGAGCGCGAGAATAAGATGAGAGACGCCGCCATCCGTACGAATTCGAACAATGCATCTCGGGCATTTTTGATCGTCCCCCGTCATGTCGGTGGGAGACGCGCGGGAGAATAAATCCCAAGCTTGGAATCGCAGCTTATTCTGTAGAACGATATCTTGGATCTCAAATTGCAAAAAAAAAAAAATAAATTAAATAAATTAAATAAATTTAAAAAATTTTTTTAAATTCGATATCCGGATATATCGCGTAAAAATTGTACATAAATAAAAAATATTGTAAATAAATAAAATAAATAAAATAAATAAAAAAAATTGTAAAATAAGTAAAAAAATATTTAAAAAATCGATATCCGGATATATCGCGTGAAAATGGTACAAATTCCTGAAAATTCGCAGGAGTACCGCACATACACAAACGTGAAAATTAAAGAAAACTCACCCCCTCGGCAGATGCGTCGACGGACGCCGCTATTGTTTCTCCTCGCTCACGTTCGCGTAGTACGTAGTGTACGTACGATCAGTTACGAGATCATAAAATAAGCAGCAGAGCAGCAGCTGACGGCCGATCGACCTGTCCGTATATCGTCCTGCGAGGAGACGTGCTTCGCTCTTTTTCCGTTGTGAGAACCGGAACCGCGACGACGCGGAACTTTCTTCGTACAGCGAAATACGAAACCTTCGCAAGGACGCTAGGCGCGCGACTGGCGCTACCGTTAGGACGCCGGCAAAAAGAGCGTTATAGAGCGGATTCTACGCGGCTCGACAGTCCTAGTGGCGCCATCTCGTCGGCGAGCAGCTCAACTACGGACGCTGCTGACTTACCGACTCTCGCGGTCGGTAAGTTAGGAAGAAATCAAGAGAATTCAAATTTCAGAAATATTAGGAAAAAAAGTTTTCATATATACTTATGCAGAATTAGATACAATTAGACAGAACTATATTTAAATGTGCAGAAATATGTATAATTATAAATGGCAAAGTATAAGATATCATATATCTTTATATACATATAACTGCAATGTTATTACGTATAATTATACATATATAAGTGCACACTATATGCATATACTTATATATGATAATGTTCATTATGTTTTATGTATAATAATATATGGATTTTTATTAGTCTAATATATAATTATATATAATTATATCTTAACTCTTTTATCAAGTATAAATATGCATATTATGTATACGTCGTATAAAATTTTTAAAATAAATGAGCATTTGAAAATATCAACTATTCTTTAATTATTTATGAAAAAATTAAAATTTAAAATTATTTGAGTTTAAAAATTATTCGAAGCAAATTACGAAGATTATTTATTTGATATCTAATAAATAATTTTTATTCGTCTGCTTTTGGCTTGTGAATCTTTGTAGTATTAGTTTTTTAATTAAAATTTATTGATGTGGGAATTATAAATTATTTACTCATTCTTGAACATAATATATATAATTATATGTAGGTAAGATCAATAAAATTCCTGATGACGTTTTTTATTATCATAATGGTCATTGTTGAAAACATGTTTGTATTTATTTGATATGCATCTAAATCACACCATTACATTATTACAAAATCTTTGTTATTACGAATCTTTGCAGTATCAAGTCAAGCATTGACGTACTTAAATATATTTATATGTTGTGAAAGATGTACGTATATAATATTTATGTTAAGATAGCAATAATATTTGTTTCTTTTAAATATTCAAACAGGTAGAATTATTGGGAAATGCAGGACCTAATGTAAAAAGAGAGAAGCTTTTATCTTTTATTTTATTTTATTATATATAATTATATACATAATCACAAAAACACATACATAAGTGACTGAATCTTATATGTATATACAATTCTTTATCGTGTCGTTATTAAAAAGTAACATTTTTACAAAACGGAAAGAGGATACATTTTATTCAACATATATAATACATCGTAATTAAATTATTACTAAAGACATACGTTAAATAAGATATGTACACAAAATACACAAGTAAGCGCTATAAACATATACGTCTCTATATAACTATATATATATATATATATATATATATATATATATATATATAAAAGTCACGACAACATTATATGTAAAATTTACGTATAATTTTTAGAAAAAGATAATACTTTTTCTTACAATGTAGTAACTCAATGAAAATAAGTTTCTAAACACACAGCACAAATAATTCGAAGTATCGCGCAGAATAAGGCTTTCTTCGTAAAAGCGTGTGCGATATATATAATATATTCGCAAAAAAAATAAAATATATAAATAAATATTATAATTTAATTCCTACATTCTGCGTATCATTAAAGATATGTCACATGTGTATACATATATGAATATATGACGTTCAATAAATGGTCATCAAGATCGCATAATTATGCGTGCAATCTTCCGTATATACTTTATTCGATAATTAAACACCACGGATGTTCAGGTATAACACCATATTGTATATCTAGCAAATCTTTTTTGAGCCTGAGATAAATCGAGTCGGACTGCTCCGTGGTTGGTATATGCAACTTTTCTCCCAGATATTCAATACAAGATACGGGAGTGACTACACCTGCTGTGCCTGATGCAAATATTTCCAACAGCTGTGAAACAGAAAAAGGAAAAAAATTGAATATGAGATCATTATAGAAAAAATAACAGAGTTGGGTAGGTAAAATAACTATAGTTAATTCGTTAAAAGATAAAAAAAGTTAAAAAAAATTTTTAATGTATTAATTCTTACTTTAACTAATTATTTTTTGCTTTAAACTTATTAACTTTTTTCTAAATTAAATTTTTTTTATCTCTGAATACTACCATTATTGTTCTTTTATAAATTATAAACGTATTATTTTTAAATTAAATTATTATTAATTTTTATGTTTATTTGTCATCAATTGTAATTACCAAAAAATATATTTCTATATAAAAATCAAAATTTCTTTATTATTTGTTATTATAAATTTTAAAAGAATTAACAAACAAAATTCTAAATTAATATAAATAATATTTTTAAAAATTAACTTTTGATTCAACTTTAGTTAATTTAATCAACTTAATTTTAACTAAAAGTTATAATTTTTGGTTTATGCAACTTTTAACTTAACTAAATTAATTTTATACGCAACTAATTTTAATTTAACTTAGTTTTAAAAAATCATTAATTTACCCAACCCCAAGAAAAAATGACAAAAGCTAATATGCGTAAATCTTACTCTGTTCTGTGAAAGTAATCGGATAATTTCCTTCATCGTGATAGATTTTTCCGAAACTCTAAATTGGTTCCTCTGCCTTGCCATGGATAGAAGCGAATTTCTCACAACTCCGGGTAAGATTAAGCCGTTCAAGGGTGGTGTCAGCAATTCTTTTTCTGTAAAAAATATTGGGAATTTTTCTAAACGAGCATTTTATTATAATATAAAGATAGAGACCACGAAGAAACGCTTCTTACCTCCGTTATCATTTAGGTAAACTATGAAAACGTTCATAGCCCCGACTTCTGTAATTTCGTGATCTTCCCCGTACAGCCAAAGTACTTGATGTAAACCCTTTTCATTCGCTTCCTGTTGCATCGGAATCGTAGGTCCGTAATTACTACCTACTTTATAGTTTCCGGAACCGCCTTGCCATGCTCTCGTTTGTCTAGGATCTGCAAGCAGGGAAATTCCTGGCTGTCCGTCATTAGTTTGAAAGTAAGGTCCGACAGGAGACAGGATAACGTACAATAAAGCCGCGTCCGAAGCTACAACTCCAAGGGTAGGCTGTCAAAAAATATACAAATCTTTTAATTAAATTATATGAGAAAATTCGGAATCATAAATGTTTTTACACAACAAAAAGATTCAACACAATAGAAAAATAAACCAATATTAACTAAACTATATCAGTGTTCAAGCTCGTAAAACAAACATAATGATAACTTACTTAATATTACTAGGTCATATAAAACGAGCAATAAAAAAATTTATTTTTTGAAGAATTTTATTTTTATTTTTGGAAGAATTTTAATTAGTTCTAATAATTACAATAAATAAAACTCTAATATTATTAATTTACAATAACCTTAATAACCCTAATATTCTTAAACGTTTCGAACTATACTTAATCTTTCTCAGTACGCAAAAAAATAAAAAATGTCCTAATAAAGAGTCACAATACAATAGTCAAAATGACTTAGATAATTACGTCAAATTGAAAGGCGAAATACATTAACAATACAATGAAATAACTAACATAAAGTTCAACACGAAAAAACCCAATTAGAAGCAAAAATTGAATTAAAATAATTTATTCGGCTAATCAAAAATTTTTTATTATTAAAACCTCGGAGAAAAAGATTCAATATTAATTACAAGTTTTTATTAAAATATATTATATATGTATATTTTTTTTAAAATATATTTAGATATAAAAATATAATTAATGTTATAAGTTATTATTTTTTTTAATGAACATATTTTTTATTGCACATATAGTTATATGTCACTATACAAGATTTGCACAAAATTAAATTATTGCATCAGCGTCAATTTCATTAAGTAATATCACGCTTTAGAAAGGTCGTTAATAAAAAGTATATTAGATAACATAGACAAAATTTTATGTCTATGATAGATAACAAAATAAGAGAGAATTTCTCTCTCATTACAACGAATAAGCATAAAGTTAAACACGAATATGCTGAGACAATCTATATTTTATCCACAGAAAGTCAAAAAATACATTAAAATTGACGAGAAATATTTTGCGTGTCAAATTAATATTGATGTGATAAAAACTAAACTATATAGTAATTATGCATATCGATTAATATATCATAATTACATTTGCTAAATTAAAGTTAAATCAAAACTATGTCTATATAAATTCAATTATAGGAATGCATCGTCTATATATATATATATACATATACATGTCAGCACGCGTCAAAAGACTGATTTATCAAGTATTATCATTAGGTATTGAGAAATACCTAAATGATTACTCTTGTATACATATAACAGACGCGATGACGTCTGTGACATAAGTGACCGTCTCTTTCTTCGTATAAACAATTGTGCATTGCATCATGTGTAAAATTGTAAAATGTTTATAATGCAACTTTAAATTTTAATACGTAAATATTATTAACGCGTTACTTGATTACTCTCTCTTTCTCTCTTAAACGCGAATAATAAAACGAAATGATACTTACATCGACACCTATATACGTAGGACGAATGTAAAGACTAGAGGTAGTAGAATGTGGAACCCATTCCTGATCTATACTAATTAATCTGCGTATGCACTTGATCAATTCTTCACCTCTGAAAGGAGGCAGACCAACTCTTATTGCTGAATTATTCATTCTCTCCATGTTTAACTCTGGCCTAAATAATCTTATTTTGCCATCAACGCCTCTGTAAGCTTTCATACCTTCAAACAACTGAAAACAAAATTTATACATGTATTAATTAATCTAATAATTTTTGTATATTCAACAATTTTAAATCAATTTTTTTATAAATTTTCAGTATCATAAATGATGACACAATCTTTATTTCATTTGATTGCTTGAATAGTTTAATAAAGGATATTTAAAAGTAGATTTCTTTTATTGAAACTTTACACATATACAACCTATTTATTGTTAGTAAATAATTCTATTTTATAACAAACAATAAAAATTTTCAAAATCATATGTTCAATATAAATAATTTTATAAATTATGCTTTCTACTACTAAAAATTAGATCAGAAACAAGCATTAAAATTTGAACATCACTAACATCATTAAAATTTGAACATTATATATTATATAAGTACATATATAGCTATTGTGTTGAATTACATAGAATGTACGAAGTAATAAATTTCCTTTTTTCTCTAATCGGATAAGCAATATTTTTCCTTTATAAAGAAAAAATTATTAAAAATAATAATGTAATATTTAAGAAATGCTATTTTCAATCTCGGCTATAATATCTTTGTTATAATAAAAATAATAAAAAAAAAATATATAAAATCATATATACCTCTATGGCATAATGAAGTACTTTCGCAGCTGGATGAAGACTTATGTTTCCAAAAGGCATAATTTCAGGCGCCTGCCAACCGTTCATGCTTTCGTAATAATGTACTTTAAGCATGTGATCGGTAAAATATTTGCCAAAATAAAGGTGATTAACATCAGGTTTAGGATTTAATTGATGTGGCTCAGCGAAGGTAACCGATAAATCTGCATACTGCAAATATATAAAAATTATGTTTTTTCGTTTTTACTCACGTGTGCTAAATATAATTTTATTATTTGTGAAAAATCAATACCTTAAAGGAACGTTGAGATTGTACAGATTTTTTGTCTTTAGTTTTTAAAGAGGAACTCCATCTTACATTCTGTTGCAGTTGATTAACGAGATTTCCAAAGGATAAAATCTAAAAAAAATAAACGTACATTGATTTATACCTGTAATAAACAAATGCAAAAATATACTCGAGAAACTCTAACAATAAGCAATATTTGAAGATGCTGAAATTCTACATATTTATCGATACAAATAATTGCTAAATGTTGAATATTTTTAAGAGCAATTTTAATCATTTTCCATGCAATTAACTTCGACGATTAATTCAACTAGCAAAATTGGCTACAACAAAATTTACAATTATAATTCCACATACATATAATTCGTCGTTTCTAATGTAATCGATTTTTACGTACCAAAATAAAAAATGAATAATTCTATTGTTGCAAGTATTATACTTGATAAATTTTCTCTTTTAATTGCAAATTAAATTAAATTTGACTAGCTTTGTATAAAAAATATGGAATTGTTATTCGATTACTCTTTTCTCCATTAAATAAACTTGCTTTTACGAATTAGATTAAATTGTTATCAAACGACTTTATCAACGGATGTCGATGTTGCCCCTATTCTTGTGTTATCATTTTAACGAAAACAGGTATTTCGTAATAGGTTTAAATCTCTACTCAGAGATATATTTGATTCATTATATAATATGAAATAGACAGAATAAGTATATATGCGAGAAGTATGAAAGAATATGTAAAAAGTTAATATATGCAAAATGGATAATGATAATCGCGGAAAAGACGTCTTTTGCGCGATGTTAATTGCGAGATGCTAATCAATGATTAATATACTTAAATACATAAAGCTCTTGATACCTAGAGGAAGTATAGTACAATAGGTCAATGATACAAGTAAAATTCACGTTGTGACATTTCAATATGAAAATCATGCGCGAAAAAACGTGATTCGACTGAAGCAAAATCAGATGATCTGATTTCAAATATTATATAGTTTAGCCATTTTATTATTATTTTTTCACATCTTAACATTTTTATTTTTTCTCTCGTCCAAAGTTTAAATATATCTATATATTTAAAGATATGTATATATGTAATGTATTTATATGAACGGGAGAGGTAATATATAACAATATATACGTATAGTATATTAATTATACATCTATATATATATATTTAATTTTTAAATACGCGTAGCCAGCGTATAAAAAGTCTAATTAATTTAAATAAGACAGACTTACTGTCTTATTTTTAAATGTGTGCTTAAGTTAGGTTGGAATTAGTAACACGTGACACGAAGAGAAGCACGTGTATAGGCGTAAACTTATTTATATTGTATCGATAATTTTTCCTCTTGATGCTTGTTACATAAATCTAATTTGCGCACTTTAAAGATAAAATTTGTAAAAATAAAGAAATGTGAAGACAGGTCGAAAAAATATATGCAGAAAGAAAATACTATATGATTTAAAATATATGTGATCATTTGTAATCAGCAAGTTAACGAGAATTAATGAATTGGTAATTACGTAAAAAACAAATGAATATCTATGTTAATTATATATTTTAAGAAATAATGCATTTTTTAGTGAAAAGATAGTGACGCGAACAACAAATTAATATTTATATTTTATTAATATTTTGTATTTTGTAAAAAAATAATATTCATATGTGATTTGTTATAACGAATTCGGTTGGATGCACTAATGCGCACTGAGTGCACGTAAAGGTTATTGCACACAATTTTACAATAACAAATAATTGAAAAAGTAAAATAATTAATAGTAAGAGCTTTATTATATTATCATTATATTTTCATATTGAACAACAATAATAATAGCTCTTACTATTAATTATTTTCCTTTTTAATTACATGTGTCATTGTAAACTTGTGTGTGATAAATCTTTATATGCATTCAGTACGCATTAGTGCATCCAATCGAATTTGCTATTAGATTTTGTTGTACAATATGAAAATATAATAATAATATAATAACTCTTACTATTAATTATTTTAATTTTTTAATTACTTATGTCATTATAAAATTGTGTGCAATAACCTTTACGTATGCACTCAGTGCGCATTAGTGCATCCAACCGAATTCGTTATAACAAACCACATATGATATTATTTTTTACAAAATACAAAATATTAATAAAATATAAATATTAATTTGTTGTTTGCGTCACTATCTTTTCATTTAAAAAATGCATTATTTAAATCGAGAAATCTTGACTTTTTTCTTTTTTTTCTTATTGCCTAAATGAAAATTCGACATTCAAGAAAAATCTTTGATCTCGCCGAGAGATAGTTATAAAAGTAAATTGCTTACCTTGCGTCGCAGGTGAACCATGATGACTAGAATATCTAGCAAGCTTGTGTAGAGAGAGAAATTAACAAGAAATGCACAATTGTTGCTGTTGATTTTTGCTGCCTTTAATATCCGCGTAGCTCATTCTACGCAGACAAAATTACTTCGTTTTTTTTATTTTTTAATATTTTTATATATATATTTTTTATACTCCAGATGACGATTTTGTCCAAAAAAATTAGGAAATTAAACAAGCGTGTATATAGGTACCGTCCTTATTAGTCACTGATTCTCACGCTGGTTGATCGTTTAGGAGTGATGAGAAAAATAAAAAAAACCATCAGAAAATGGGAAAGTCTACACACACTGCTACGATTACGAAGTGTTTAATAGACGAGTGTATTTTTTTTCTGTTCTAATGCAAAACGTTCGCTCGTTCGTTCATTCGTTCGCTCACTGACTATTGATTCGATCGCTTGATCACAATACAGCGTGCTCGAATTAAATGCCGGTTCATATTTTATTTATCAAAACGGGGCGCATGAGAGAGGGTAATAGATAGATATGGAAGGAGAAAAAGCGAGAGAATTAGGGTTCCTCCCTTCTTTCTAATCGAACCGCTGCGCTTCGTTCGATGTCTTAATGAGGCGCGAGTGGGGGCAAAATGAAACGATTTGAAATGTATGGACGTAAGAAGGAGACGGCGGCATCGCGCGATTGTAGCAAAGGGGAGGAAAAATTGCATCAGGGCACGAACGGATCATTGAAAACATGTTGATAGTCACGCGGCCCCTTCGATAAGCTTCAATGCGGAGGAGAGGCGGCTTGTTGTTGTTAAGATGAAGACGCGACTTCTCGACTTCGAGTCTTCAAAAGCGTATATATGGATAAATATATTTATCGAAAGGCGTGGTTCCACTTACGTATGCACGTATATGGACCGACGTAATGTCCCGTTTTATTACGATTTTTCGAAAAAGTTTACGAGGAAAACAAAGCGTATCATTGTAATAATATATCGTAGATGTGCTGATTTTCGATTCTATTTTTTTTTCACAACGCAACAACATCGTTCAATAACAACGATCAAAATATGCGTATTGTTTTCATGACACTTCTCTTGAAAAATATATTTAATATACTTTTATTTTACAATCCGGAAAGCAGCGGTCAACGCGATTAGCACAAATCAACAAAAAAGCAGGCGAAGAAGAAAGAACAACGAAATATTAATTACTATCAATAAATGGTGCAAGAGCAAGATAATTAGTCGTGCGAAAGAGTTAAGACTTATCAACTTTAAATAAAAAAAGAGATTTATTTAAAACGTTATTGCGTTTTAAATATGAATCACGAGCGCTTTAAACACTATATTCCTGAATTAAACATAATTTAATGTGAGATACACACATGTGTTTGATTTTCACGGATATACAAATTTATTGATCTTTATTCATGTACATATAGAGCTGGTAAAAATAAGAAATACAAATTGACTAAAAAAATACATATATTATTTAATGTACAATGAAAAATTGCACGCGATTATTTTGTGCAAAACAATATAATGCGTAATAAATTGCAAATGCATTTGCCCTGCTCATCGCGTATCACCTATTTCCAATTCTTATGTATTCTCATATATTTATTCACACGTAATATTGCGTAATATATGCTTGTTACATTTGTAATTCAAAATATTTGCTTTTAAATGCAGCGTACAATCTATCTTCAATTTTTTTCATTTTATTTAATTTTATTTAGAAAATATATATTTGAGAATCGACACATTTAGAACACATAAATAAAATCTGAAATGTAGCAGCTGAATTATATCAAATATTTCAGTGAAGTATATTCCGATGGACGTCATCATCGAGTATTTATTATTTCAAGAGATAAATCTTTCTTCATCTTACTTTATTTTTATTTTTGTTTGACGAAATAATGAATCAAACACACAGAAATATGATATGAAGTGAAAAAGAAGTGGAACTAGTTGCTTGCAGCTGACTCGCTTTTTATCTAAAAGCGTTTACTTAGCGATAATTAAAACTTATAATAATGATGAAAGAAAGATAATGAATAATGTAGTGTATCTGGTTTGTAGAATTTAAAAAAATTTGGGTTGTATTTTATTTTGTGGCTTTCTTTCCAAATGCAATTAAGATATATGAGCAAGAGTTTTCTTAATTATTATTTTATCTAATTAAGTTATACTTGTATAAAATAGTATATTATATGTTTTTGAAAGAGCTATCACGCGGAATAAAGGAATTTATATATTATTCAATTTGAAAAGATAAGAAAGATTCTTCTGCAGCAGTAAATAATTTTATTGCATCAGTTTTATATCAGTCATTTATCGCACACAAAAAAAGAGCATTTTACTTAGTAAAATATTACAAAAAAATGTTATCTTTATTTATAATTTCTAATCGTTTAAACTAAAATTGTGAGATACTAGATAGCCTTTTTTCTTTTCTTCTCTTCACCCCGACGGAAATATATGTGATTCATATAAATGAATCGCACGTAATTATGCGAATATACAGTCTCCGACCTTCGTGCTTAATAAGAACATGCAAAAATCCGACATTATAAATTAATGCAAAACGTACGCGAAATCGCACAGTCGCGTAATTATCGAAGATACAGAAGGGGAATCATATACGTATATATACATATAGTTATTGAAGAAAGAATTACATCCTTTAGGATTCTCAACTTTTCTCTTATCCCTCCTTCCTTTCTCTCTCTTTCGGAAATATTTTTACAATATAATTTCGCAATGTATAATTGATTATGAAATTGACAAACTTTCTCTTTTCGATGGCTTTTTTAGCTTACTCGTTTCAAGATCAATTACGTCATTTATGCCACGTGTTTTATTCATTATCTTGTTTAAACACTATCTAACAATAAATTATATGATAAGGACAGGAATGAGACGGATGAATACATATGCATACGCCAATGACCTATTCTACGTCACTGCATAGTGTTTAATGTCAGAGAACGTTCAAGATTAACATAGGCCAAAAGGTAAGAATAAAGAAGGAAAACTATTGTTCAGTACCAATACTCACTATAATAAATCTCGGATATTAATGTCATTTTTCCTCTTACAAAATATTGCAACAAATTTTTTTTGCCTTCAAGTCGATCATTATTCATTGTAAATGTATACTGAAAAAATAGATATAAAAAATATAGGTATAAAAATAGATAAAAAGCTAATTTGAAAATGTTTAACTTAATATTTGTCAAATATTTGTTAAAAAGTATTCGAGATTGTTGATTCTCTATTTATTATAAGAAATATAACAGAGGAAGAAAAAGTTCAAGTTTGCTATAGCGACTATACTTTATAAAGATAAATAAGAGATGCGATTATACATAAAATCTAATTCCACCCTTATAATCATATTCATTCATTCGAGTTATTATATTCTATATATCTATAATGCAACTTGATCATAAGAGAAGATCGACTATGTATTATTTCCCGCGTGAATTAAACATTTTGTTACGGGATAATATATTGAAATAAATCGCGAATTAGCATATTTTGACTGTGTGATGTCGAGATACAAAAAGAGAAAGGGTTAACCGAATAAATTTGTATCGTGTATAAACATATAACGATATTAATGGATATACTTGCGAACTTATTCTACATTTTAACAAATTAAGCAAACTGATAAGAGATGCATTTTTAAATTTCAAATCATGGATATATAAAGATATATTATTATGTATATAAAAAGATATATTATAGAGAAAAACCTAATATATTTTCATCATATAAGAGTGTATTATAGCTGTGTTTTTTAGATATTTGTAAGATAATATATAGGATTAGGTAAGTTAATTAAAATTAATTTATATAGTAAGTTAAAAGTTGCATAAACAAAAATTTAAAAACATATTTATATTAAATTAGAATTTTATTTGTGTGCGCGACGGAAAGCAGAATAGGGAGATCGGAAGCGGGACGACAGAAAAGCACTGCACTCAACACACACGTATCGTGAATACTAAATATATTAACACTACTAACACAAAAAAATACAATTATTCAGACCGCACAGAATTAAAATTGGAAAGAGCGCCGCGGCCTCTTGAGAGGAGGCTTATATAGTCCCTATTTTTCGAAAATGTTCGCGAACATTTCTATTATTCTATCGTTAGGTTGAGGGCGAAAGAACATATAGTGTGATTGTTTATTGCTAGATCGACACGGCATTTTTGTTATTAACAGAACAATTTTTATCACCTCTCGCGCGACCGCGGTCTTTACTGTTTATTATGATAATATTTAACGTAAGCGCTTATTTTTCGCAAGCGCGAGATATCCGTATACCCTTGCGGCTATTTTAATATAATGTGAAAGTACGCATGTTACAATTTAATAGTATAGAATAAATTATACGCATGATGCATGTTGCATGCTAATACTGCATGAAATATTCTAATGATTTTTATCTGCAGGTGTTGCACGTTCGATTTTCCAACAATTTGTTAATTCTTTTAAAATGTATAATAACAAATAATAAAGAAATTTTGATTTTTGTATAGAAATATATTTTTTGGTAATTACAATTAATGACAAATGAACATAAAAATTAATAATGCTTTAATTTAGAAATATTACATTTATAACTTATAATGAACGAAGCTAAGTTAAAAGTTATCAACTTTTTAACTTTCTTTAAACTTCAATTAACTTGGTTCTTACCCAACCCTAATCAAGAATATTAAATGTCAAAAACATATGATCTCGATTTATGCTATCAATTCAATTTAGTAGTGTGAATGAAATAGTACATTTTAATGTACGTTAAGCAGTTGTTTAACCTTCTGCAATTAAAGAAAATACAATCTTGCAATAATATAAATAAATTCTTACCCGTTCCTGGGCACCTATTACGAAACTGATCGGAAAGATTTCTGACCGAAATATGTCTTTTCCCATTTATCTCTAGATTTCTTATTACATTATCCACGGGGAAAAAGATCATTTTCGTAACATAGGTATCTTCACGCGCCTACGAATATTCAAAAATTCAAACTATCGAGAGCGCGCGAGTAATCGATTTTTCTCGCTTGCGATTATTTCTCGCGATACCAACCGAAGAATGACGAAAGACGACACGTTTCGACTGGATGGGTTCCAATAATGCTCCGGCGTGCAATCTCGGGCGTGAAAATCGACGATATGGGAATCAGTTAGCACGAAAACGAAAATATTAAACCAGCCTTTTTTCCTTTCTTCACCTCGCAGAATCGAGAAGCGGATAAGCACGGAGGGCAAGTTGCAAGAGGGCGAGGATGAGTCTCAGCCTGACGAAGCTCTTCTCGAAGAAGAGGAGCGGTCCCGCCGCGGACACCGTGGCCGCGGAGATCGGCCTGCCTACCAACGTCTCGCACAAGTTCCACGTGAGCAAGAACGCGGAGACCGGTCAGCTGGAGGGTCTGCCGGATCCGTGGATACGTTTGCTGAACACGCAGATCTCCAAGTCGGAGCAGGACGAGCACCCGGATGCCGCGCTCCAGGCGATCAAGTTCTACAATTATTCGATCAAGCGTAAGCCGCAGGATCAGGAGGTCTTCAAGCCCTTCGTCACGCAGGACTTGATCGAGGAGGAGTCGCAGGCGATCGACAACATCCTTACGAAGAACAAGTATCGCTCGGACACCTCGGACGACGACGACTCGATCCCGGAGAGAGTCTCCAGGGAGTCCTCGCGAAGATTACCAGAGTTGCCGCCAAAAGTCAACAAACCTCCGAAACCGCCGCCGAAACCGGCGCCTCGCAAATGCAACGATCGAGTTGAGAAGACCCTCACGGAGATCTTGGAGGATCTGAGCGTGTACCAGATCGATGACGACTTGTCTCCGGAGAAGGACGTGAGCTCGAGCATAGTCGAGGAGAGTCCTGTCCTGCGTAGGAAGACCGAGTGCATCGGAGCGAGACGAAGCGACGAACAGGTGTACGAGGAGCTCAGGACCATCTGTCAAAGCGGGGATCCCTACTTGCGCTTTCAGAGAATCAAGGAGGTGGGCGTCGGTGCTTCGGGCACGGTGTTTATAGCTACCGATCTTCAACACGAGCGGAAAGTAGCCATCAAGGATATAGATTTGTCCAAGCAGCCGAAGAAGGAATTGATACTGACCGAGATCCAAATTCTCAAGGAGTTTCATCATCCGAACTTGGTGAACTTCCTCGACGCCTATCTCGTCGACGAGCACCTTTGGGTAGTTATGGAGTTGCTGGAAGGTGGACCGCTCACAGATGTGGTCACCGAGACTGTGATGAAGGAGGTTCAAATTGCAGCGGTTTGCAGAGAGGTTCTCAAGGCGATAAGCTTCCTGCATACCAGAGGTATCATCCACAGGGATATTAAATCGGACAATGTGCTGTTGGGAATGGACGGTGCTGTGAAAGTTACAGACTTTGGCTTTTGTGCTAACATCGATGGCGATGAGAAACGACAGACTATGGTCGGCACTCCGTACTGGATGGCACCAGAAGTTGTCACGAGAAAACAGTACGGCAAGAAAGTGGATATCTGGTCACTAGGTATAATGGCTATCGAAATGATAGAAGGGGAACCACCTTACATGAAGGAAACACCATTGAGAGCGTTGTATTTGATTGCTGCCATCGGTAAACCATCCATTCCAAGATGGGATAATCTCAGTCCAATGTTTCAAAATTTTCTAGAGAGGTGTCTCGCAGTTGAAGTCGATGAGAGAGCAACTGCCGACCAATTACTTTCTCATCCATTCCTAGAAAACTGTGCGGAGTTGTCTACGCTCACTCCATTGATTCGTGCAGCACAGAAAATTCTTCAGAAAGCGTTCCATTAAGTATTTCTATAGAATTCAAACTTGTCGCACTCATAATACTGCCTCATGCTCCATCCCTGTTTGTATATTAGATCAAAGGCTAAAAAGAAAGTATTTTATGATTGTTATTCGATTTTAATCATTGATTTTAAGCTTATTTGACTGCCGTCATTTTTACTCTGCTGTACTAATTTGTGAAACTAAAGCATATAGTGCACTTTTGACAGTCATTTTAATAAGTCATTATTTTTTTCGAAAAAGAATCTAATAAGTTATTCTTCACTTTTATTACTTAATTACATTATAATTATTGCAAAATAGTATGTGGATAGATTTATTTTCAATTTTTATTTTTAAAATAAGAGTCGTCTATCTTGTTATGTGCAATATACACAATTTATTACAATTTAAGGTTTTATTCGGATATTTTCGCTCAATATAATGTACTATATTACAAATTCAATATTATCAAAACAATAATAGCAATATTCTAGTTGCAAATAATTGTGAATAGAATACAAATTTTTACATCTTTGTAGACATGAGTGAAATATATACATTTAAAATATTGTATTTTTAGCATCGATTGCATGATGTTTCAGAATTTTATAATTTTCTTTCTTAAAACTGTACTTATAGATCATTGTGGAAACAGAAATACTAAAAAGATATATGTAACAAGGAAGACAATATTAGAAACAGTTATATTATCTCTGTTGTCAGAGCAAATAAAATATTAAACTTTAGCCTTGCTTTTGTAAAAAAAAGCAAAAATGAAAACAAACTTTCGTTATCATTTATATGGAGAAATCATTATTCATTGTGTATGAAATTACATTAACAAAAATTCCGAGTGTGGAACTGAGCAACGTTGTTTAATATTATGAGACAAATAATGTCTAAAAAGTATTATGAATTGAATGTGACACAACAAGCATTGTACAATGTACTCTTGTAAGATTGAGATACATAATTTTGTAAGATTTTACCTCTACTTTTATAACATATATTCTTTTTGAAAACTTTTATATGTGTAAGAGCGCAATATTGCTCAACCAAATATTGTATTCATATAGCTGTTTTATAATCGATATGTATATAAATTAATGTTCTACAAAAATTTTTGTAATACAATGGATACGTAAATGATAGGACTACTCTAAAGAATGAATGTATAGATATTTAAGACAAAAAATTCGAGCAGTAATATCAAGTATACATAAAATCACACGACTGTGATAAGCAGGAAAGTTAAGTTATACTATACTATACTTTTTGTGCTCTACAACACAAATACCGTAAAAATTATGTTATGAAAAATTATCATATGCTGAAAATATCAAATTGTAAGACAACAGTTTAAGGTACAATTGCTAAATGTTATATAATATGATCGGCCAAACACACTGTTTGCGAACTGTGGAGTTAAAAAATAACATGTGCTGATAAGCAAATATATTTAAATAGTATTATAATCGTTTGCACGATTTTCAATAAGGAATACATTATCGTTTGTTATTTTAATTTTTATAGGATATATCCTATATAATATATGTGTGTGATATATATATGCATATATATCACATACATATGTGTGATATATATATATATGCATATATATCACACATATATATTTTAAATTTTGAGAAAAATATTTAAAAAGTTTAAATAAAATACCAAGAATGTATTGTAGAGTATTCTATAATATTCGAACATTTGTGCCTTATCAAACGCATATGATTTTAACTAGTATGTAAGAGACACATTATAAAAATATTATTACCAATGATAATAAAATACGATGTTATAATTATATATATATACATATATATATATAACAAAAATTAAATATTTGTACAAAATTCATACTATTGTTTTATGTATTAGGAAAAAAATTAATGTTCACCAATATATATCATATATCCTAGACCTTAGGCAATAAATACTTTATTTACAAGATGTGTAAATTTATGACTTTTATTCATCTTTAAGTTATATTAAAATTCTATTTTTAAATCCTCAGATTACATACAAATCAGCCTTTTATTTTATATTGTATATATACACACACACACGTATATATACACATAAAATTAATAAATTAATCATTTAAAAATACTATATGCTTTATCCAACAATTTTGTTTTTAAGTTTCTGGATATGAATTTTTTAAACATAGTAATTATAATAAAGGTATTCATATTTAATAACATTGACAGGGAAATTGTTGTGTACATATTTATATACGATTCTCATATGTTATATATCACATAAGTAATTTGCAAATATTTACAAAAGACAGAACATATATAATGCTCTATTTACAAAGATCTAAATACAACAGATAAAATAAATATTCTTATTTTTTACTATTTAAATCTTTTGATATTAATCTCAAGTAATTTAACCATTTGTTGGATTGTAAAATAATGAATGTTTAGATATAATCTCTTAAAAGAAATTAATATCTAATAATTTGTTTTCACTATTAAATAATAAACACCATAAATGTGAGAATATATTCATAAAATATTGACTGTTCTAATTATTTGTTTTTGGCAGTATAAATGTATAAATTATACCTTTAGGTCACACAAAGTTTGATAACAATAAATAATATTATTTGCAATATGTTTACATATAAATCGAGCTTTTTATATTTAGCATTGTGCGAAAAATATAACTGATGTTCACTAGTTCTTTTATTTCAAAAACAGCCAACAACTATATACATTATGCAATCGTATAAATTAATATTGAGCTTCACCTTTTTATTCAAATCTCCATTTTTTAAAAAGTGCAATGACATTGTTACATAAAAACAATATTTCATTCTTTCGATCCAAGCAAGAAAACAAGCTGTTTTTGCAATAAACACTTTCAATTATTATATTAAAAACAATTAGTACGCTTCACGTTTATACCTCGATGCCTGTGTCTTACCAGCCACTAGAAAAGCTGGATCTTCCAACATTGCTTTCACAATAGCCAGAAAATTAGCTGCTTGATCCTCATCGATGGCTCTTCTATCATAAGATAGTTTCACTGTCATTTTCGTTACCTTTGCTAACGAAGAGTCTACAAGATGAACATATTATTAGTTTTAAAAGAGAAAATATGTTGCACACACATATTTTTGTCAAAAAAAAAAAAAAAAAAAAAATTACCCAGCTCTTCGCGTCCCGAGCCTACAGCAAGAATAGCGGTTTGTGGAGGATTAATAACGGCTGAAAATTCCTTGATACCAAACATTCCCAAATTCGAAATCCTGCATTATAAAATTCACTTATTATTATCACAAAAACCACTTTTTAATTTTTTTTACATATTTTTGATTGACTTACGAGAATGTTCCTCCTTGAAATTCGTGTGGTTTGAGCTGTCCGTTTTTTGCTTTTATGGCTAATTCTCGAATATTTTTAGAGATATCTTCTAAGCTTTTAGTAGCCGTATCGAATACTATTGGTGTAATAAGACCACCTGGTATTGCGACCGCTACACATACGTCCACCTTTGGAACTCGAACAACCTAATTATAGTCATTTATATTGTAATTGAATTACACATTTACGCGATTATATTACAAATGAATCGTACTAACTTGTCCATTTTCATATATCGTATTTATATCAGGACACTCAAGAAGCGCATGAGCGACAGCCTTAGTAACAAAGTCATTAACTGATACATTTATGTCCTCCGTCTTTAGTTTTCCACGAAGCTCGATCAACTTGTCGATAGTTATGTCTATATTTGCATAAGAATGTGGTATATTTCTCTAAAAGAGAAAAATTGCTTAATTAACTTAAATATGAAATAATTCAATTTTATTAAAAATGTTAGAAATACTATACTTTTGATTCGCCAATACGTTTAGCGATAACTGCACGAATATTGGATATTTCGATATCTTTGTATGGAGATGGTTGACCAGGTGGGACAGACGTTGTTGTTAGACTAGGAGGATGTGCTTGATCAGTCTTTGTTGGAGTCGATGCTGGAAAAAAATAGCGATAAAATAAAAACTGTTATTTCAAAAAGGATAGCATTTGAGATATACGTAACGTTATTTACCGGATTTAGGTGGAACTCTTTTAACATTGTGTGCCTGAATGTATGCAAGAATGTCGCTTTTCAATATACGATTTGTACGTCCAGTACCTTTGATTGAATCTGAATTCAGACCATATTCCTCCAGCAATCTTTTCACCGCTAAACCATACACTCTATATGATATACATTAAATAATTATACATAAATATAAAGCTTTTTTTATTTGTATATATGTATATAAATGATATATATTTGTAAATAAATTGTATTTGAAAATGATGGAGAAGTAAAAATAATTTAACTACATAAAATAACAAAAGAAATCAAATATACATACTGCCCACTTGATGATTTTGCATCTACTGCTGCAGTTGGTTGAGCGGAACTTGGTGTCACAGGTGTATCTGCTACAGTCGATGTTGGGATTACAGCCTGTTTCCAATCCATTCCTTTCTCAACTGTAACAGCTATCAATTGTCCTATTTTTACTTCAGATCCTTCTGGAACCTAATAAACAAAGTTTAAGAAACAATTTAAAAATATTATTTGTAAAATTGTACATCATGTAATATAAAAAAATTTAATACATACAAGAATTTTCGCAAGTACTCCTTCTTCCTCTAATTCAAAAGTCATGATGGCTTTATCTGTCTGTATATCTGCTAATGCATCGCCTGGTTGTATTTCGTCACCTTCTTTCTTCAGCCATTTCACGATTGTACCTGTTGTCATAGTCGGTGAAAGGGCAGGCATAGGAATGTTTTGCCTGAAAATTAGATGAACAATTCAATAGCAGTTTGATGTTATAACTTCCAAGCATATAAAAATGTAAGCATGATTTCAACATTATCTTTTAAAGAGATTATAATCTAATGTGTTTATTAACAGATCATACTGGCCAGGTGGTGGTGGTTCAACTTTTCCAATAGCTGGGGTTCCAACAGGAGCTGCTGCTGCTGCTGGAGGGGTTTCCACCGACTTGTCTGGTATTTCCACTGTTTTCCAATCTTCGTCAGCTTCAACAGTGAGAGCTATCAGAGTTCCTACCTTGATATTCTTTGTTCCTTCAGGTATCTGAACAATATATATTTCATATAATTTTGTACACAATTTCCTTCAACATGATTTATCTGTTACTGTAATTGAGTGACTTGACTTACAATTATTTTAGCTAATACACCTTCGTCGTCAACTTCCATTGTGACAATAGCTTTGTCAGTCTGAATATCCGCAATAGCATCACCAGGATTAATAGCATCGCCTTCTTTTTTAAACCATTTCACTATAGTACCAGATTCCATAGTAGGTGATAAAGAAGGCATTAGTAGTTCTTTTCCCTTCACTGAAAGGAAAATACCTCTTCTTGTCAATGTGTTATTGTAAAAACGTAGAAACAGATATCTTTAACAATATGTATAAATATTTGATTGCATAATCAAGAGTGCAGAGAAAGATTTATTTATACCAAGCACTATAAAAGATTTATACGAAATATTGTATCGTAAATATATTTTTCATATTTTTCATTTTTTTTTGCATGTATGTCACGAACGGGACAACTTTTTATTTCTCACAGATTTTGTTATTAAAATGTATGTTTTTTGAGCGAGGTAACCTTTAAATCGAGATTGACATTGTAGGAAAATAGTCGTCGTTCCTGAATAAATATCATACCGTCGAGAATCCCACTGGTGTGGAAACATAATTGTTGATATTTTAAGGGCGCGAATATACGCGGCGCGACACGATTAGCATATTTCAATGACAAGAGCATAAATTTCGATCTTATAATATGCGCCATTTTTCACATCCAGCGACCAGCAACGTCGAGCCTGATCAAGTCAGAGAATTGAGATCTATCTTTACGACCTCCAACTTTTTTGACCTGTTTGACCTTTTTTAGACATATGCATATATTCATCCATGTCTGGTTGCTGATCTCTGAAGCATGCATTATAGATATATTTGTAGGTTTCATTGATAAAATTTATTTATAAAATATTTTTTCAGCGACTTTTGGTGTTAATAATAAGTATTTGGTTTTTTTAAAGAGAAAAACATGTTTATATATGATGAATAACATAAAAGTTTCAACTAAATTAAATATTTAAATGTATATCGTAAATTTATTATAAAATATATGGAAAATTTAATTTAGAAAAAGAAATTAATGAATTTTAGTACATATGTAGTGTAAAGTAGCGCGCAAATATTTTAATTATTTTTCTTAGCGAAATCTGTATTAAGACTAATTAAACTGTCAATTGATTAATTTATTTCAATTCACTTGCGTTTAAAAAATATTCCATGAAATTTTAAGCTTAATTAATCAAAGACTATTTATAATTTGTCATCACGATGAGGGGAATTAAATATAAAATGACTTCGCTTTTTGCGGTATGATTTTTATTTCATCATTATAACAATAACAGTTTTTTCTCTTGTGATTAATTTTCGCATAGTGTTTCTTCAATAGTATCAATCGCTTATCAATATATTCGAGTGTCTCACGCGATGTAACGTATAATGTAACATATTTGCAGAGGATTTTACACGGAGCGGGAAGAAGTACGAAGTATATTTTCAAATAAAAATGCAGGCGCGCGCGCGATTGCAGCGATACTATCGATAGTCGTCGCGCGCGACCGTATCGATACTATCGATCTGACGCGCGCTTGCGATTCTCGAAGACGCGATGGCGGACTCTTGCAAATCGTGTCGCACGTCCTCACACAAGAGGAAGTTGAGAGTGCATTTTTCCAAGTTCTATCGAGAGTGTGCATCTCGCGTTACATTGTGCACGATTATTTACATTAGATGCGCGTTTGTAAAGTTGCAAACAAGTGCTATACAGCGACAACGGTGCATCGGGCGCGATAGATTATCGTCATATAAAAACTTGTGCTTGGGATTCTCTGCGGTGTAAATTCGCGCCACTTCGCAGGACACGCAAGAATCAGAAATCATCCCTACAGCATCGGATAGGATCTCAAGGTCAGTCTCAATTATTTCTCTATATCATTTCTACGAAATTACACATATATATTGTATTGATTTCATCATCATGATTTTCCGGCTACTGCGATGACTCTTTCGTGACGAATTTGTTTGCGCGCGCGCGCACACGACTAAAGAATAATTTTTTTTCGATAAAGGAATATATATGTTGTATATATATATTTAAGAGAATATATTAAAAAATGTATAAATTTCTACTTTTCTACGCCAGTCGAAAGTTCAATAATTCGAAATTTAGATTAGCCGAAAACGCTTTTTAAAAAGTCTTTCTCATTTCTATATACCTATATTTTGAAATATTTCGGACTGTGGGTCCCAAAATTGCATTTACTAATCCACGAGATTAATCCATGAGATGTAGGCCCAAGGGGGATTAAATTCGACTTGATAATACCGATACGAAATAGAAATTATAAAAAGAGAATGATATTGACAAAGTATATCAATATATGTTGACAAAAAGTACTAATCGCGTACAATCGTTTTTTTCGCGAGTTTTATTTTTATATTAAACGCTGTATATTGCCTCGGCTTGCAATATACATATTTCGTTCAGTCAATACCGTGGCGATTTTTTTAATTGACGATTGTTCAATCGCTCGTTGTTGCTCGCCATCATGAGAGAAATTTGGCACTCGTTACGACTGTTATACGACTGCTCTGAACATTAATATGCCATGCTACAATGACCCGTGAAAAATCGTATATAATATATCTATGTAACGGGCGCTTTAGAAGCGTATGTATATATATATATATATCATGCGTTCCTTAAAATCTAATTACACAATCTATAATTACACGGTAATTTTCACGATTGGCGCCGTTGTCCCATCGAGTTCGGCGAATAAAGTCTAGGAGAGGTTCGATATTTCAGCGCTTTTGAGAGATATTTTAGTAGTTATATATAAGTCATACAACTCCCTTTTATCTTCCTTTTTCGATTTGTACGCACGAATCGATATCATCGCTAAAATAAAGAGCCTCTGTCGCGCCATTATATATAAATCTAAAGGTACTAACTTCAGGCTTTGGTGACGGTACGCAATTTTGTCGCTCGCTTTCGTCAATATAAAAGTTCGTGAAAATCGTGAAAATGATTGTACATACGTAAAACGAGATATATACGAATAAGGGTATCCAAATCAGATTCTCTCTCTCAGTCGAGAATATATATAGTCTTATTACTTACTTATAAGTATATGCATATCAATTTGAAAACTTTTGAAAAAGAACTTTCAATTGCGAAGAGACGCGATAAAAAGTTTCCCAAAGTCGGACATAATTATCCGGTAATTTGTCACGCGGATAAACTCTGTCATTCCGCGAGTAAAATGCTTATTTAAGTGCTGAATGTCAGTAATTGCTAAAAAAATGATAATAAATCGCAACGCTAGTAAATTTAGCGTTTAAGTGAGAATTTTATGAGAAATATTCAGTCTGATAACAACCATTCTCTCGATCACGCGCAGTCGCCGTCTGCGCTTAAATTAATTAACATTTTTCTTCATACGTGTGTAATAGATTTATTACGAATCCTTATCGTTAACAAACATGACAGCTATTTATTATCGCTTTACTTAGTCGGTGATTATTTACAATTGCACTCGACGCAAATAAAAAGCACTTTTTCCTTATTATATTGCAAGCGCAAACTTTCGCACGCTTTTGAATTAAATCCTTGGAAAAAGATTTCTTCGTGTTTCTTTCGTGTGTTTTCTTTCTTCTTTCTTCTTTGTATTGGCAGTAGGGTCACTTGTGCTCTTGGAATGATGCTTACGAATAATAGTTTTCCCTTTGCTGATAAAGTGGTAAAGAAGCCACAGGCGAAAGATCCTCATCATCTAAGCTCGATTCAGTTTTCAGAGGAAGCGTTGCCAGAGCTTTCACTGTCGATGAATAAGACATGATGGATCAATCACGAAAATCTAGTATTAAACTTTTATTAAAAATGAAGCTAAGTTTTTTTTAGCTATTTCATTTATTTTTATTTTGTTTTTCACCATTTTTATTATATTTCTATAAATTATTTGTGCAATACATCAGCTTCACTTCAATAAACGTATATTGGCAGAAACATAAAATTGCGATTGTATTTGTATAGCTTGATTAGGGAAAAAAACAGAAGAAAAAGACAAAAAAAATGAAAAATGTGATAAACAAACCTGAAAATGATAATATGTCGTGCGTGTCCTATAGCGGGGGATGTAGTAAGCATGTCAGTCAGTGTGCCTGGTTACCTATACACAAGCACAAAACAATCCAAACAACACTCTCTAAGACAACACTATATATATTTGTCGTTGTTGAAAAGCCATAAAAAATATCATAAAATTCCGCCGTAAAATTCAAATAAAACATGCGCGCCCGCGTCTGTGAGAAAAAAGACGTGATCGGAACAATATAATGTAAATTGCTTGAACTATCGAATGAAAATTGAAAAATTCAGCAAAATGCTTCTGTAAGCAATAAATTATCGTACTCGTAATATAAAAAAAAAACATAAAAGACTCTTCTTCATTCCTTGAAAGCTAAACAAAATGAACATGCTGCCATAGCTCTACGTATAAACGATAAAAATCATGCGAAAATTACGATATGCTATATCGACGTACCTGCTACCATTTTACTTTTCTCCATCACTTGCTTCGCCAATATTTGATTAAGCTGAAGAATGTGTTCCCTCTGTCGCTTTTCTTCCACTACTTTTCGTTTCAATGTATCTGATTTTTCTACATTAGAATCATCGTCTAAAATCATACATGATGTACAATTTAGAAAGGTATATTTTATATTTAATGGTAAAAAAATAGAGATAATTATAAGAACAAAAAAAGGGATATTACGTACCACCTCCTTCCGGTGCAGTTACGGTCGTTTCAGAGAGCATTTTTCTGATCGCTTCCGCCTTCTTTAAACGCTGCTCCTGTTCTTCCGCTGTTAGCTCCGGCGTCTGAATGATTAATAAGTATATATGTCAGTATAAACTTGTCAAAAATATTAATAAAGCATTAATTTTCTAATTAAATTTTAAAATAATTTGTTACAAAATTAAAATAGCAATATGTTTTAAATAATATGTTATAATGCCTTATTCTCGATTAATATTTTTTGACATAAATCAGCTAATAACTCAAAATAATAAATGAAATTTAAAGTATTATAACATATTATTTAAAACATATTATTATTTTAATTTTTAAATATATTATTTTAATCTATATTATTTTAAGATTTAATTAGGAAATTAACATTTTTAATAAATTGATTTCCGTGAAAAAATATTAATAAAGCGAAAATTTTCTAATTTTTAATTTTGAAATAATAATATGTTATAAAAATTAAAATAGAATGTTTTAAATAATATGTTACAATACTTTAAACTCGATTAACAGTTTTGACAGTCATCAGCTGATTTCTGTCAAAAAATATTAATCGAGGATGTCTCGAGTCTTAATTTATTCTTTTTTTTTAGAAGTATAGGTATTATAAATTTCTTACAATATAATTTTTCTAACTTTTAATTGTTAAAACACGAGTATAATTAAATAACTTTTTTTATATATAACAATGTCTCGGTTCAAAGAAATTAATGTTGTACCTGTTCGGGAATATATCTCTCGGGGATGACAATTTTGTTGGGTGTGCCTAATAGCTGATCTATAGTACTCTCGTTATACTTTAACTCTTTATGACTTAAAGTCGAACGCACTACATCGGGAGCATTTATTCTGGGTCTGAGCGCTCTTTCCATGTCCAAATCGTCCCTAGCTCTGCCCATGCCCTGAAAATCAGAGATCCTTGTTATGAGTAAATCAACAATTTTCAAAACTGCCACAAACATAATTTAATGAATGAATCGAGAATGAGTAATAGGTAGGCAAAGCAAAATACAAGTAGACGATAGGGTGGAAAATAGGGAAATGAGAGAAAAAGGAAAAACGAAAATTCAATGAAACAAAAAGTACCATCTTCGAGAAAGTATCCTCTAAGTCGAGCACCGGTTTACTACTAGATACAGTGTAGTGCCGTCTCTTCTCCCGCGGTATTTGTCTTCGTCGCGGACCCTCCACTTTCTTCTCCGTCATCTCTTTGATAATCTGTTTGGCAGCCTCACTTTTGAACACCGGCGACAATTGTGGCGATTCGGACTTGTTTGCATTCGTCGTTGCGGCTGCGACAGGGATCGGTCGCGCATCATGGACGCCGGAGTTAGTCGTCGACGTTAATTCAGAGCTTGCGGTATCCGCGAGAGTCGCAATTTTGTCGTATTGCCTATACGGTGGTCCGAACGGATGATTAGGCTGATTAGGATAGTGAGGCTGTGCGATGACCATCGCCGCTTGCGACGGATAATTTTGATTCTGGCTCGGGCTGTATGATGATGCGGTGGAGTAGTTGGGCGAACTCATCGGTATGTAAGAGCTGGACGTAGGGCTGTCCGTGTACGGCGATAAAGTGCTATCGGAACTGCCGTCGTGATTTTCGAACTGCGATTGAATGTCAAAAAAAATGTAAACGGGATTAACAAAAATAAATGAGCGAGATGGCAGTGGGCGAGGTAAAATAAAATCATACGCTAATATCCGTAAAAATAAATATTTGAACGTGCAGAAAATAAAATTTAGCTCATCACAGGATGATCCGAAACTCCATCGCGTCGTTTTTCAAGTATCGCCTGATGCGTTGCTACCTAGAGCTTACCCTAATTTTATGTCGTCGCGCCATCATGCTCTTCAGAGCGTGCATGCTGTCGCTGCGTGGTGGAGGTACTACCGGTCCGTAATGTATTCCTGCAGAGTTTTGCTTTTGTCCACCAAAACCGCGTGGTAGAGACATGCTTCTTTGGAACTGAACGTCGTCTAGCTCAGACAGTTGAACCGTGCTTTGCGCGTGAATGATCGATGGTGATTCCTCCACTACTCTACCCAGTTGAGCTTTCTAAATGTTAAAAGATTTCTATATTAGAACACACGTAGTAAATCAAAAAAATTGATGCCATTTTTTAAATTAGAATTAATTGCTCGAAAGTAAAAATCACATTTGAAAAAAATTATACAAAAAAAAAACATTATTTATATCTGTATTAGCGACTTACTTCGAATTTTTGGGAACCACCCAAGTCATCATCGCACAATCTCTTTGCGCTGCCTGGTGCTTGAAGGCCGTTCGTCAGAGGAATTCCAATATTTCCGGTTCTATCTCCGCGATCCCTTTGCCGCCTTTCCGACTCGCGTTTCACTATACGTACCGTTTTAATTTCTTGCTTCTCGCGATTGTGCATTAATCCTGCGAACGCGGAACAGAAATTAAATTTTTGTCACGCCACAAGCTTAACACTTTCGCGACGGAAGAAACGGCTTACCGGCGAATTTGTTGTCTTCATTTTGTCTATAATTGTCATTCAATAATAATGTCTCCTCGTTTAATGGCGGCGGCGGTGGAGGCGGCGGAATATATTCCGGAGCGAAATTCGGCGTGCCATTCAACAACATATTTCCATTGTGCTTGCTCGTATCGATAATGTAATCACCTTGAATAAGAAACAATAGATTAATAAATAAATACGTAATAAAATTATTTTTTTACAACTTTAATATTTCGACAACCAAGATATTATTTCAATTAATATGACACCATAAATTTATATATATATATATATCGTTCAACGAATATTACCTGTTATTCTAGAATCTGTATTAACGTACAAAGGCGCAACTTGGATCGCGCTACCTTTGCCCTGCATTTGATCTTTCAATAATTGTTGCTTTAATTGATGTTGTTGAATCTGTTCGCGCAATTGCGGCGAAAGCGCCGATATGTGATTTTGGGAAGGTTGCACGAAGGATTGATTTTGTGGACGATTTAGCGGAGATAAATCCTTGTATTGCGTAGGAGAGCCATATCGCTGATGAGAATTATCGTTTTGCCTATTCGGAGGTGAGATGGATAAAGATGGACTTGATGGCGAGTCTAAACCGTGGTCCAGAGTTATTCCGGAATCTAAGTCGGTCTCTAGCCAAGAATTTTGCGTACGCTTTTTCGGCTGATGCACTTGAGGGGCTGAGAAAAAATAAATGTTTTTAATTATATTATTAAATTAATAAGCATTTTTGAGAATATATATATATATATATATATATATATATATATATATCCTAATAAGTAATAATAAATACAACGAATATTTATCTCTCTCTCTATTGTAATTAATTATAATTATATTTTAGCTCTTGAGTTTTGAGAAATCTAATGAATTTAATGCGCATTACATTTTTGTATTTAAACTTACCGTGCAGAGGCTGCGGGCGAATTTGCTGCACCAAACTATGAGATTTCTCTGTGAGTTGGCGAACTTGAACGCTCAGTTCCTTCCTTTGTCTCTGCAGATCGCCGACGAGTTGTTGCATCCGTCGTAATTCCGCTTCCAGAGGTGCGGTCGTACTCGGAGTATCTCTCGTAATATTACCGGCGTATCTTCTAGACGCTTGCACTTTTTGCCTCAATACCACCAAATCTTGCTCCAATCTCGCATTTTCGGCTACCGTCTCCTCGAGTTTCTGCAAACCATGAGAAAGTTATCGAGGCTGTCGGAGTGAAAATGCGCGATTGACAATAAATTAACGATAGGCGATCGCGTTGCATGGCAAGAATGGCAACTAAACAGCAAACGGCGGAACTGAAATTATTGTGTTGTGAATAATGCAAATTACCTGGAAGAATACTGGTTTTACCTGGAAACAATGAATCGAATATTTAATTGCAGTAATGTAATTATGCGATCTATTCTCGTTATCCAAATATATTACTACTATTATTTTCATGATATTGCAAATTGATATTGCAAAAGCACTAAAGAAGATTGAGAGAGATATCAGATATCATAAATAAATTATTTTAATTTAATTTTTATGAAGAAACGAGATTAGTTTCTTCATTCTTTTCCTCTATCTCTCTCTCTCTCTCTATTTTTAAATCATCCGACAATCTGTTATAAGCAGAAACATCGTTAATAATAAAGCACTTTTTTACTTGTACGCTTTGATTTAAGTCTGTCGAGAAAAGCATGAAAAATGAGAAGCGGCAATTACCCTCATTATGAAATTTAGATTGACGCGCAATTTACGCTTGTTTTTCCGCCAATCAATCTTGCCAATCATTTTCAATAGCGGATTCGCGCGCGATTCGTTCGGAACACGAGAGAACGGACAGAAACGCGCATTAGCCTCTGTCAGATGCGCTTTGAAAATTGTTTACCTTCGAGTTGTGAGCGAGCAACACCCTCACTCTGCTCAACTCGCGCTCCAACAGAAGTTGCTGCTTCCGGTATCGTTCGGCTTCGGCCAAATTGCTTCTGCTACCTTGCAGTTTGTGCCGCAACCCGCCCAAAGCCTTCTCGAGTATTTCCTACAATCGTATCGAGTCAATCATGCATCTAATACGATACAGCGATTTCTATATCTTGGAATTAGGACAATTCGTATCATCTTCCAGCTTATCGTTATATCTGAACGTTTCAATTTCAAGCGAATAACGACACATTGATTCTTCTAAATCGTAGACGCGATAGGTATTACATTGAGACGAACGAGGACATGATTGGAATTTTTCTCGAGTTTAAGGTATTTGATATATAAAATTGCTTTCGAGAATACTGGAGGAAAAATTGTTTTAAGAGAAAAAAGCTCTTTTATATATATTTATTAATTAGACGCTTTTGTTTTGTTTCCCTACAGAGTACTTGAAAATTTTCAAGCAATTTTAAGATTTCGGAGTAGTATATCATATTATTGTAGTATAGATGTAGATGTTGATACAAACCTTGTCTTGTTGGAGACTGTGCAGCGTGCCAGATTCCTCTTGAAGCAATCGATCGAGTTTGTAGAGCTGCTGCACTTTGGCCTGCGACATAGAAAGGATACCGAGTGAACTAGTGAAGCTTTCAAGTTTCACTGTTCAAGGGACAAGTTAGGTATAGGGTTTCAATCGGAACGAATCTTGGGAAAAGAGAGATCCGCCATCGTTAATCCTAGAACAACGTGAACCTCTGTTCTCTCGGTATTTGTCTTTATTCTTGCCCATGAATAGGACTCTCTTTCGTGTTCAGAATATATTTTTATCCTTTCCAACCAAGAAATTTTATCAAGAAATACTTCGATAATTTTATATTTTGCAGCTTCGATACAACAATTTTAATTGATTAAAATAACACATTTTCTAGCATTTTCTTCTCAACGATTATTTTATATCTCTTCGAAATTAGTCAATTAATTATATAAACAATTGTCAAAAAATTTTTAAATATTGTTTCCATGAATATGTATATATCTAAAAATATTTTATTTTTTGACAATCTTTAATATAATTAACTTATATTTGAAAAGATACATAAAATAAGCGCTAGAAGAAAATTCTGAATAAATGTGTTATTATAATATATTAAAATAAAGCAGTAACTGAACATTCGATTGCACAAAAATATATATTATTATTTAAAAAACATTAATTATTAAAATTCTTTGTTATTCGTCCAAGTTTAGTGCATCACGTGCACATGTCAAAAATTGTCAAGAGCTCAAACCAATAATAAGAAGGAAATAAGACGTAAGATACTAAGTGGACATTGTCCGTAGAGACCCGAAACGCCTAGAGAGTATATTCTACGGTAAAGTGAGCTCTTCGTAGAATTTACGAGAAGTCGTAAGTGTCGTCCCAATTCTGTCTCTCATGTGGTCTATAAGGATCGTACCTTAATTTTTTCACGTACGCTTTTCTTCCAATCGGCTTTTTGCAATCTGTCCATCACGAATGCGCTTAGTGTTTATAGCACGCGAGAGATCAGGAATTGCTTTCATTGGTCAAGAAGACAGCGCATTACGCTAAGTGTGCTTTTTAGCGCAGAGGATCACTTAGCAGTAAGAACATAACAATAGAAAATAGAAAATGGAACGGACGAAATATTGAACGACTTTTGTTTTAGATGTCAAATATATCTTTCGTAAGTAACATCCGACGTAGAGTTTAAAAAGTAGAGAAAGTTAATCAAAATTATTTACATGTTCACTACGAAATCGCATATTTTCAATTACTATAAAGAATTTAAAGAAAATATTGCTTAAAAAAGGAATTATTTGACTCCAAATAAATTAATAAATAACCGTTCTTCCATCAGTATAGATTCGCATAAATAAAATCTGCGAGGCATTTTCATGTTAATTAAAATTAATTGAATCACCTGTAACTGTCCATGATCGGGACTCAATCTATCCCAATCTCTGCGCTCCTCGGCCAGCAATCGTTGCTCTTGCACCCTCTGATTAAATTCCAGACGATCGCGATGATCCCTTGCATTTTCGTGCATGAGATCGTGGCGAGAACCGGAAACATTGCTGGTCCCATTGGCAGTGTTACGATTATACAGGGAACCCAACTTCACCATATTATCCACGAGGTTCACGAGAGGCTTGCTCTTCTCGTACTAATTAAAAAAAAGCAAAACATGAATAGACAAATAATATTAAACAAAATTTAAAATCGCACTAAATAAAGTAACGAATTGACAACATTTTCACTCTAACAAAAATTGTTGAGGAAAAATCCAATTCCAAAGATTAGGTTTGAGTTATTTTTTTAGGCAGGTAGAAACATAAAATACCTATTTCATGCGACAAACGTGTCTCACCTGCTTCTCAAGGTCCATCAGGTGTCTCTTGAGTTCCTCGAGTTTTTGAAGATTCTCCAGTCGTCTCGGTGTGTCGAGTTCCGCCAGTCTAGCCTGCGGATGCAAACAAAAATACACGAAACGTTTATCTCACTACATTAAAAGCTTCTTCGTTTCTCGCGTGCCAATTAACGCATACATTTTCGCTAAGCGACTCGTCGCTCCGTGATACTCATTGCAAGCCAAATAATAATGCAACGGACACATAGTTGCGTAGAAAGGCGACCCAAAGTTCGACTCGACTTTCTCCTCGAATCTCGCACGTTACGGAATTACAACGTGTATTTATTTACGTTCTATATCTCGTACTAAACATAGTCGTCTAATATTTACGCAACAATTATATTCTTCAGGTTATCAAAATAAAAACTTGTAAGCTTTCAATTTAAATATAGAAACAAGCAAATCGCGCTTTTTTCTCAATCAATCGCGCTTTACGGATCTTACGATCCGTAAAGTATCGTATAATCGAATACGTATTTAATCTCTCAGATTTAAGTCCCCCGTTATTCGCGACGAGAGAAACGACGTCGATCGCTCATACTGCATCATCGTCACGTGGCTTCGCAATTTGCAATCGATCTAATTCAAACACATCCTGAAAGATCTCGTCAAACTGCACGGTCGTCCATCACAAAGCGAATCGTCACTTTCTCTCTAACGGTTAAAGCGGTCGTTTAATAAATCGGCAACGACTCCTCGAGAGCTCGAGGTGCCGCGACGTGTCCTCGTCGTCCGCATCGTCATCGGATGGATCTCATCGTCATCTAATTACTGTGAAAATTTCTAGCGCGAGACTCGCGCGATATAAAGCTTCTCTTCGGACCTGCGCCTCGATCTCCATGTGACACGTCTCCATCGCCTTGAGGACCGTCGCGTTCTGACGTCGCAACTGGATCAGCAGTAGCACCAGCTCCTCATGGGTCCTGCCGAGAAGCTCGCCAGCGGAGACGCGCACCAACCCGGACGTCACCTGCCTGCCGTCCGCTCTCAGGGAACTGTTGACGTTACTCTGTCGAGGCATGCAATTGTCTGTTAGCCATATACACGCGCAAACAATCGCGCACGGAATTGCGACAAATTTCGCCCGACGCGCAAATATTTATTTATTTATTTATTTTTATTAATTGCGGAAAGAAAGACAAAACGCTCCAACGAGAGATTACTCTGATCGCGCGATTATTGTTCGCGGAATACCTATATTTTCGAGCATGCGGATTTGATTGGCATGGAAGAGGAGAAAATCATGTTATTATCGAAACACAGCGCAAGTTGATATTAATACCACAAAACACAGCTGCATCAACACAAAAACCCACAGCAATAAGATATCGTATGCTCTGAATCATTCGATTCAGTGAGATCTTTCAGAATATGCACGATACCATTCGTTTGATATATCTTTTTTTTTATATATTTATCTAACATCAATTTTGTTATTATGGCAATTTACGATACAATATCTACTAAATCGTATTGCCCGAGAATGGAAAGTACAGAAAGAGAGGAATTAAATTACGAGCGTACACGAGATATACAGATATTCCGGCCGTCCGGTTTCGCGAGCCGAAACTGATAAAACCGTGGAAACTAGCTTTTGCGTGGAACAAATTTCCGCATAAATGCGGAAAATAGAGGATCCGCGGTGAGCCGCATCGGCTCGAATTAGGTAGCCTGTATTGAAATTTCTGCCGGTGGTTTTATCAGTCAGAGAGAGAGAGAGAGAGAGAGAGAGTTGCGCCTATTCGTGAGGCAAGTTATTTTAACTGTGCAGAATTTCTCGGTGACAGCGCGGAACGAAGATTACGGTTCAGCCGATCTGTTCGTTCGTCTGAATTTTGCATTTATTGTCCCGCGTGTTCCAAAACCGCTACGTTTTAATGGCTCTTACGGCTGGATTTGTGGTAGCTTGAAAGCGAAGGGTTTATATCCCCCGATCTTCTGTAATACAGCTAAAAGCCGTAATGGGAGGTAAAGTGGAACGCTATACAATGCGTGTACACATAAACACTGTCGAAATAATAACAATTGTTGCCGAAGTAATTTGTGTTTATCATTCGAGTATTTATACGAGGTAGATAGTGATGAGTAAATAATAATAATAAATGATATACGCGCTATCAATTTACAAATAGCTGCGTTGCTCATTCGATCGAATATTCACCTGCATTTACGTTAAACAATATTATTTATATCCTAATGTTATTTCTTGCCAGTCATTTGTAAAATTCCAACATTTATTTCAGATCAGTCGGAAAGAATATCTTGAAAAATATTTCTTTCTTTTTTTTTTAGTTTAAAATTACATTAAAGAATTGTAAAAATCTAAATTAAACGATAGCTATTCTTACGATTATTCTTTCTCTCTTAAATATTTAGATTTTCCAAAATAACGGTTCAAAAACACTTCAGACTCTATTTATGTTCCATTAATTTTGGAGTTATTTCGAAGCTCGCAGCCAAATTGAGAGAGCAAATTGATTATATTTCTTCCGTTTGCTGCAGTTCCTTCTTACGTTGCAACGATTTTTAAAGGTCACGGAAAATCGAAGAAACGGGAGTATACGTGTCCGTAGTTTTCTATTACTTTCCAATTTTCTAATAATACTCGGTTCGTCCTTCAGAGACGACGTAAAAATTCTCATCGACATACCAATACCAGACGAGAAACGCGAACAGATACAGGTCACGCCGAGAGCTCGGTGCACGTAGCGTTGCGGCGAAGAAAACGGCGGATTTCATTCGGTGAACGGTGAACGCGAATGAAATTCGAAGCAATCGAAGCATCCCGATCGATAGTTTTCCCAGCGCGAAAAACGAAAATTGCGCTCTTCTCGCTTTAACACGGACAGATTCCACCCCCGATATAGCTCGCATTCCGCCTGGAATTTCCCCGTCAATCTTTCGCTATCTTCGAGGTCGTATAATCTTGATCTGTATTCGCAGGATTCCTGCGAGATTGGGAGAGCATTCCCTAGCGAGGAACGATCGCTCAGCGAATCCGGAATCTCTTTTCACCTCGCGTTAAAATACGTCAACATGTCCGCAGAATCGCGTTCCCGAGGAGAAAAGGCACACTTGCTTAGGAGAACAATCTTCCGGTCGATACGAGATGCAGAGGTTAATATATTCGATTCCGGCATTCATATATTTTATACTAACACCAATAATAATACATTTTCATTTCTCATATACTTTTTAAGAAAAAATATAACTGAAATGGACATGAAAAATATTTTACCTTTATGACATCGACGTAAAAGGATTCAAATTCAGAAAATTATGAATGTATCCATAAAAATATTTCACGAAAACATTCATGTACTTGAAACGCGCGGCGAGTCTCCGGAAGCAGCTCGTAAATTTCACCTAATCTTAAATTCTTTCAAGTACACATCGAACAGGGTACTTGGTCGCATCTCTCCCACGCAAGCAAGCAAGCAAGCGTCTCTCTCTCTCTCTCTTTCGAGTCTTCCACTCCATTCCAGTTAACGTTTTACCTGAACCAAACCAGTGGGAGCCTCGGCGTCTATCTCTCGAAGAACAGGCGAAGGAGGGATGGTGCTCCAGTTTGTGTAGAAAATGAAGAAATTTCCACCGCAAGCTCTCGCGCTCGAAGTCTCACGTCTGATGGCGCGGGTCGGTCGCGGAGGAGGACTTGAACGGACTGGCGTCGTGCCCGGGTCCGATCGGCTTCGACCGGCCGGCAGCGTAGTGTGTGCAGCATCGCCGCCTTGCTTGGGTTCGTCCGGTGCTCGACGTTTTGTACCTTTTGCCCCCCCGAGGGCCCCGACCGACCCTCGACCACACGCGGGTATGCTCGCCGACAAAAGTTCCGAGCTGCCGTGGCTGCTGGCCTCGTCTCCTCCTCTTCGTCGTCGTCTTCTTCTTCTTCTTCTTCCCTCTTCCGCTTCGTCCTAGCTCGTTCCGACGCTTTTATTCCTTGCTGTTCTCCTCTATCGACGCGCCGCGATGTATGACAAGACGACGGATCCAGGAATCCGCGACATTCGCGAGGTAATGGATATTATTCCTGCTGCTCTATCTACGTCTGAGGATATGTAATCCTACTTGTGGTTTATTTCAGTGAGCAGTATAGGCGGTCAAAAACCATACTGAAGTTGGTTTTCATCAATCGTAAATTTTTGCGGTTGAAAACCAACTTCAGTATGGTTTTTGATCGTTTATGCTACTCATTGAAATAAGCCACAAAAGTAGAATTATCCTTAAGTGTAGATAGGGCACGAGTATCGTTCTGAAAGCATAGACGATCAAAAACCATACTGAAGTTGGTCTTCAATCGTAAATTTTTTTCGATTGAAAACCAACTTCAGTATGGTTTTTGATCGTTTATACTAGACATTGGAATAAGCCATAAGTAGGATTATCCTCAGATGTAGATAAAGAATATTATGCGGTTCGCAAGACGCTAGAGGGATGAAGATGGATTGTGTCAAGTCGCATTTTTACGAGTAATACGATCGGAATATAATGATCGATGAAGATTAAGATTTAAAACTGGATGAAATTTTCAAACTTGTTCTTGTTGTCGTTCAAAATTGAATATCGCAACATTTTCGAGGAATATATTAGATAGACACAGCAGTGTCCTATTTCGATAACTTTTCGAGTCACATTGAACTTGGCACTTTTGCTTCTGCAGACGATCTACATTTCAGAAATACCGTATTCTTGGTTGCAACACGTACTTCGGAGCAATCTTTTTGCGATAGGAAAAGCTGTAAATGAGAAACCGAAGAGATATGTGAAAGGTTGAACGCTATAGCGTCTAGCGCAAATAGAGAAGTCCATTGTGCATGAAGCTTAAGGTCCGTTCGCAGTTCCTTGGCACGGTGCCCTTGCTGACCGGTGCTGACCGTATGCAGGATCGACCCTGGACCCTGTATGTTTCTCGGTTCTCTTTTTCTCCACCGTCTCTCCACCATCGCTCTTTTCGCTTCGTCTCTCTTTCTCCTCTTCTCTCTCTCTCTCTCTCTCTCTCTCTCTCTCTCTCTCTCCTCTTTTTCTCGTAGTTCGCTCCCCCTTCGTCCTGACCCTCTCGCCACCCTTTACCGCTGTCCATTGTATGTAATGGCGCCAGGACGACGACACTTGGGTCGCTACTTTCTTGCCTCTTCGTGTATCGCGCATTCGAGATAAACGCTTCTTAACTCGCGTCTCATCCAAATTTTGCGCTCGCGAGGTGAAAAATCTCGCGACTTTTCGATCGGATTTTTGACGAGCGTCCGCGATGAAATCCTCTTCAAAGAATGCTGTCTAACAGGATTATTTGTAGCACAAAGTCCTCGACCCGCGCTTAGAATTTTACGATCGTCCGACGCTATACTTGTTGCATACTGAAGAAGCGACTGTGAGGCATCAAAGATACGTAGATGTGTAGAGCCTTCATCGTATAACTCGATTAGATTCACCGCTATTTAGATTCGATCGCGAGAATAAATGAGAGTCCTCGCTTCAGAATTTTACTCGGCTTCCGAATCATATTTAAGCTTTATTTATCGCGCAATCATGATCTATTCTGTACAATAATGAAATAATAATCGCAATCTATACATATTTACGCTCGAATACACGGCATAGATTAATATGATTTTATCCATAAATTATGAGATACTCATCGGCCATAATTTGACGGAAATATTTTTCGCTCTGGAAAATCAAAGCATTTGGATGGAAATTCGTTTGGTATTTATTGCGTGCGATCTAGTGTTATCGATATCATTCATATCGACTCGTGTGTGTGAAAGTGTTACCAGTTTCCCTCTTTTCCTCTCTCTCTCTCTCTCTCTTGCTCTCTCTCTCGGCAACATTTTAATTAATTGAGCGAATGGAATTTACATGCTGCGATGATGATATGCAGGCTACGTCGCGTCAATAAAACAGACAACGTATATGTTTGCGTGACAGGGACAAAAGAGACAATTATATAGATAAAGCAGCAAAATGACAGACGGTCGATCGTGCAACAATCCGCGGGAGAATTCGCCATTCGATCCCGGATAATGCGACCTCGGGACGCGACAACATTATTTTGACACTGTATTATGTAAATCAAAAGGATTCGCGAGCCCTTTGCGCAAATTTGCAGTAAAGTTTTCGTCGTAAAAGCTAATTTTCACGCGTATACATATAGTATATACATAGTTTATTTTCCACAAACGGGAGGAGAGAACGTTAGATTCATAGGTGTCTGCAGGATTTTTTCCAGGAGAGGGTATATTTAATTTTTTAGTTATCTTCAATTTTTTATATTAATTTGGTTATTGAATTTCAAGAAGGATTCCAAGATGGATTTTCTTGCGGATTTGCCGAAATCGCGATTAATACATTTTCTTTTGCCGAAACGCGTGAGCTATAAATTTTGCGGTGACCGCGCTGTCAACTTTTCCGCGCGACAGTCGCACGATCGATGCGCGAATCTCCTCTCTCCATCCATCATGCTTTCTGCCATGCCAATCGAAATCGCAAATCGCACGGGCCATAAAACGTCGGCCAAGGCGTTAATAAATAAAGACAACTCGTCTTCGCTCACCCTTTTATGCAGCAGTTCGCTGCAATCCGCGCGCATCCGCTGCTGCTGGTTTTGTCTCTGACTCGTTGGCGTCGTCGTTGTTCCTCCTCGGTCTAAATCCCTGCCGATCGAGCTCATCATTTTTCTCTCGTCTGCGAGCAGAATGAGAGATAAAAGTTTACGGTCCCTTGCCCGAGATACGACGTTTCTTGCGTCAGAGAAAGCCGCGCTCGCAGGAAACGCTCGAAAGGAAGTCGCGGATTTCTGAGAGAATGTCGTAATGAGCGAAAGGATATATACGAGGCCGAAACTATCGGATTCGTTTTGATATTCCTAAAGCTTTCTTTCTCTCTTTATCGCGGGCTTCGACTAGGGAGGAAAAAATTAAATAATAACGAGCGAGTAGATTGACTTTCTCTTTAATCACGTTGATCACAGTCTTTTGTGTTTGCTCCTCAAAGCGTCAGAATTGTTAAAATAATTTTCTTTCATTATATTCGGAATATTGTGTAGACATTATCGCGCGCATTTTTCAGTCATGAGCTTTGAAAATGAAACATTTTGTTTTTTTTACAATGAATTTAAAAATTTTTGACTATTAAAAATTGCAGATTTATTTTCACTGAAAATTTTACTTGAAAAACAAAAGTTTCTACGTCATTGAAACGAACTAGCCGTAACATTTTTATATTTCTCACAATTTCCAAAAAAAAAGTTGAGCTTTGAAAAAATTGTTAAATATTTATTAAAATTCATGGTTGGACTTAAAAGTGATGCATCTGAAATACCCGAAATTATGTGCTGCAAAAATATTCCGCAATTCCGACCGTTGGATTGGCGCACATCGTAAAAAGCACAGACTTTCGTCTAATACGCAGAATATTGTGCAGCCATTGTACTTGTACAGATACAATCGAATTGCACGGCATACCAAGAAAATTCTTGGTGAACCGTGGCATTTGGATTGCAAGCGAGAGACATTTCTTGCATTCTTCTTAAGGATAGCATTTGCCAAGAGCTATCCTCATTCAACACATCTGTGCTTGCACACAATAAAGCTATTCTTACAATTTTCTTAATATCACGTCGCACCACCGCACCGGTGCTAAAATATTACGACCGCTCGTGATCTGACTTTCCCAAAAATTGGAAGAAGACGGGAAACGATTTTATTAAAATCATACAAATAAATTTTATTTACATTTATCACGTGGAAAAATTTATGGAAAAAAAGATTTTGTAGAGAGGGAGTTATATAAACGATTTGTTTATTTTCATTGGAAAACTGCCACGTGAAATTCACGTAATGATACCTATACATCACGTAATAATATTACGTAATCCGTATGTTTTTCGAGGCGAATTTCCCGAAGCCTAATATCGATTATGCGTATACCTTTGTGCACTTATTGTTAGGTGAGACATCAAAACAAATACACGGAATTTCCATTATTCCGCATTATTAAATGAAGGAAGGAGGATGGGGTGGCGGCATGTACGCTTTATTGAAACAATGCTGCACAAGGGATCTTCGGATAATTAATCCGACCGTTCACTAAAATTTCCGACCCAAATTTATATGCTTTTCGAGGCAGTTCGGAAATTTCGCGATTCGGAGTAGATTCTAAATCGTTATTTAATTTTGTGAATATTAATCGTTTATATTTGGAAGAAAGGTTCTTTTCATCATCTAAGTTTGCATGGACTGAATGTTTTACATAAGTCGAATTATTGTAGTTTCACTTTGAATATTTAGAAACAATTATTTGCCATTAAAACGAAAAAGAGGTATAGGAAAGTAGAATTAATTTTGTTGAATATTTATATTAAGTTTTCTTAAAATTTAATTTATTAATATTATTAAATAAAAATCTATTTTCGAAATATTGTAAGAAAACTATTTTTCCATTTTATATGTATGCTATAAGTTTATATTATAAAAATTAAAAGAATTATTATTTGAGAAAAACTAAATGTTTGGGGAAAAAATTTAATTAATTAGCGCGCCTGGGAAAGAACTATTAATTTCGCAAAGTATAATGTATCTTGAATGTCAAGTAATCATTTCATAAAGAATATAGGCGTTGTATGCTCTGGTATTTTTCTCCACCGACTTTTATTAATTAATGTTTACTTTTATGCTCTTCATATGAAAAGACAGTCGACAATTCATTCGAAGACGAACCCAACGTTATAACTATTTTCCGTGAACAAACTTGCCGTCGCGAAAGTTATCTCAACTCGTATTACGACCAACAATATATTAATTACGCCATAATCATCTTCGAGCTCGCGATAAAAAAGTTAGAGTTTTCTTTCGTAAAGTCGGATTTTCTTTTTCCCGGATCGGGAAACTTGCCATGGGCGATTAATCGCTTCGCTGGTCGGTTTATCGTGAGAAATTCTCTATGAAAACTGAGAAAGTATCGGGGACATAGTACGGTAGCGGCAAATTACAGATCCACGAAAGCGAAGAGGAGAACTTACTTGGACTGTGTACGTGTATTTCGCTGTCGCTGGGACTGGAAACACGATGATCGTTTAACGAAGCGACCCGCAAGTGTCCGACCGGGCTGATCAATCGCTGAGTGGAATGACCGCTCGGTGACGCTAACCTCAGGTCTCTCATCTCGTTCCCGGTAACCCTGAAATTTGATGAGCACAGGTCAATGTGGATCGATTCCTAGAAGGCCGCGTTCGAGATAACGCCATGAAACGTTTCAACGCAGAAAAAAATATGAGGACTAAGAGGAAGAGGATTAAGTTCTTCAAGTTAAGTTCTTCGAGTTGAGAAGAAACCTTCTGCGAGACGATGGCTCCTAAATTATGTGTTCCGCGAGGCGTAAACTTTTTCCGCGAATCGCCATTAACTTGAAACTGTTGGATACGTCAAATAGATATTGGCAAGTTTAAAGAATTCATATTCTGCGATTCTTATTTAAAATATTCGTAAATTAATTATACAAAAACTTAAATAATTAGAGGGGTATAAAATTATATTATCGTTAATTTAATAATTTAATCGACCTTGAGAACAGTTTTCACACGATCATTACATGTCGCAATGTCCTTCGCGCAAGGTCGGTTTAATTGGTGCACAACTGCGACATTACATAATCTCGGTTATTCGGTTCTATCAGTTGTCAAGAACACACAGGAAATTTGATCGGTTGTGCAAACTAACGATGCATTGTTGCTTGCGCAAGCAGCGAGTAATTAAGCAACGACCAAATGAACGAACCTAAACACAAGGTAACGAGTTTTGACTAAATAAGGTGATAGAGAAAGGAAGAGAGAGAAAGGATACTAATTGTTTTCTACGTTAGATAGAAGCAGGCGCTATAGATTTTTATGGCGATTAAAACTCATTCCCTCATTCTGCATTTCGACTTCGACATACTAGAACAATTTTATCACGGTTTCTGCTACAAGTATGAATAAATGAAAGGTTGAAATATTTTTGATTTTTTGACACTAGAATTATTTCTTTTCAAATTATTCCAACATCCACGCAAAGTATCAATATTTAACTGCTCGTGACATAACATTCCTATATTTAGCCACCATCTCAAAGTGACTGAACAGTCGAGCAACTTGCGAACCATAACAGACAATCTAGTTTCGCTAATAAGTTTTCCCCATTTCGGAGCGTGATAGCAGTGGTTTAATTATGGCGCGAAACTTTGTAGAGAAATACCAAGATAGAGAGAGAGTGAGAGAGAGAGAGAGGATAGTGTCTACTTACATGGCAGGACCCTTGACGATGTCGCCGTTGCTTACGGCCCTCAGCATCTGGGCGGTGGTTTCGCCATCCATCTGCCTCATAGACGCTTGCTGCTGCGGAGTCGAGCGATGGAGCGGAAGCGGCTGCCGATGGCCGGCGTTGCTTCTCGGTAACGGAAGAGTGGACACCGCCGTTGGCGGTTGAGTCAGCGTTCTTTGAGGCAGATGAGACGTGCTGACGGCCCTAGGCGGAAGCGGATCTCTTCCTATTACGGACCCCGAGCCGGACGCTGTGAGAAAAAAAGTTACGTTCACTTCGTGAAAATTGTATCTCGAATTCTATGCGTCTTTGCTTCAAAGACCGCGTGTTTAAGGGGATGCTGCCGTAGTTCTGTTTTACCGACTTTAAGTTAGGTTCACTTTTTATTGAATGTGAAGATTGAAAAATCCTCCACAATAAAAGGCAGAAAACAGCAAAAATTAGTTGCAGGATAGCGCTCCCCGTTCATTATTATCAGTACTTTAATTGTGGAGAAGGATTTTTCAATCTGTATAGTCAATAAAAAGAAAAGCCCTTGAATTCAAAGTCGGTAAAACAGACATGGTCAGCATTCCTTTAAATTTATCTGTGCATGGAGAGAATTTTCTCTTAGAATTTAGCTTGAAAATCATGATAATCGGAGGGCAGTATGGTATTTTATAGTTTTATAAAAACAATAAAAAATATTAACATCACAATAAGATATAAAATATGTTTGATTAATTTTACTATTTACATATTAATAAAATGGTAAAATATTGTGGTAAATATATATTAATTAGAGAAATTCTTATATAACATTTTTCCGATCGATTACCATGATTTTCAGGGTAAATTCTAAGAGAAAATTCTCTCTGTGTATAATTTCTTTCTAAAAAATGAACATAAAATTTTATATCTTTCTAATACTAAGCTTATGTATATATATTTAATGCGATGTTTGTTACTCTAAACGCGAGTCAATTTCCAAGATTGCAAACTTTCATACGAGATACACCCATGATGATTGAGCCTTGCGTATGATGCGGTGAGATCGCTTAAGCGTTCTCTGGATCGCGACGAATCGGTAATCGTGTCTGTTCAGAAAATTCCGTTTGTCTCGCTTGAACGGGAATGATGGGAAAAATATATGGGAGAGCAGAATGGATATTGGATTGAGTAAGTAATCTTTCGTAGATCGTAGTTTGTTCTCGGTGAGCCCGTCGTTACGAGTTAACGATGTGTACGCTTCGTTAAGACTTTACGATCGATTATTTAAGCTCGAATCGAACCGAATGCACTTGGAGATCCGTATAGTGAAAAGTGGCAGTTAGTACGAAATTAAATTCACATGGGATTATTCTCCTCTGCAATTAATAATTTTCCATTGCGGTAAAGAAATGTTACAAATTAATTGATATCCAAGAAAATAATTTAAAAAGTTTGAATTTCGATATTTGCTTCTTTGCAATATCATTCCGGGAAGTTTCACCACGTTCTCCATATTACATTTTTCATTTTTTAATTCCAAAACAAAGCAAATCTAGTTGTATGCAATCCAGTCTCCTAATATGGCTCAATTTCAATCGAGTCTCACGCCAAGCGAATTCCTCCGGATCAATTGCCGGATGCATTATGGGAATTGTATGGGGGCAGAATAGACGGAACGGGAGATGGAACGGAAATGCGCAATGCTTTGGGAACGATGGTGGACCGCCGCGCCGTTTCAAAACAGGCCGAGACGGTGGAGCGAGAGAGAGAGAAGGAAAGGACAATTTATCGCCCGCAATTAAGTCAATGTCCGAAAGCAGATCGGCGGGGTTACGCAAGACTCTGGCTCGCTCTTCAGGGATGGGCTCCACGATATTACGCGCATCGAGCCAATTATTCCCTTTTTTGTTTTTCCTCTCTCTATCTCGCGTTGCCTCGATAACGAGATATCTAACGGGAGTTGCGCAAACGGGTTTCCCGAAATAAATGGAAATCAAATGGTTGTTGTTCTTGTTGTTGTTCGTCGAACATTGCTAGGGAAATCGGTTGGCAATCGGCCGGAATTCGATCGATGCGGAATGGCATATCGGGGAATCTACCGCGGCGAACGTCTCTCGGCCGCGAACGATCATCGAGATTCGCGACGCGCGAGAATCGGCGCAACATCCGCGTGCGTTTGGGGTCCGCCGATCGGAATCGGCGGGAATATCCGTCGTGCGGCTTCGCACGATTGTTCACGCTTAAACTAGCGTTCACGCTCAAACTAACGTCGGGAATGCAAACGACTCGGCGCGATGCCATATGGGCGCAGCAGGAAACTCCTCTCTCGCACTTTACGCATAATAGGCCGTATTCAATCTGCAGAATGTATGGACCGCGCGCAGTCTCTCACCCTCTCTCTCTTTCTTTCTCTCAGTTTGTGTGATAAAGACATCGCGCGCTCATTGAAATTCCATTCTCCTGATCGAATCGCACTTTACCATAATTAAGAATACAGAATCTTCTTGTATTATCTGTAGAAGAACACGACTCGTAAACTAGTTTACGAACAGAAGCAGCAATCTATATGAAAGTTTTTGAATATATATCGCATCCTTGTGTGTTGTACATATAGTCCTCGCGCAAAGTCAAACATGATTTCTTTCACATTCATGAGGTGCTCATAAATAAATATCGGCGCGATATTTATAGAGTTTTCCATCTTAGTCTGTCATCGCGATCTCGACTATGCAATTGGGAAATTCATGAGCAATAAAGCTGAAATGAGGGTCTTATTATGCATAAAATATTACGTAATGTAGTAACTTCATTAGCGAGAATACCATCGTGTTTCTGAGCGCTAGAGCGATATCAGAGGAGCAGAGTATCTATGAAAATTTAGCAGCTGGTGAACGAAAATCCGGATGAAGAAATTAAAGCTAATTATTCCCTTTTTAATTTTGTTCCATAATTTCGTCCACAAATTTATATCTCGCGATACAAAATTATTTTTATTTGCAATTTTATTTTGACATACTTTGATATATAAATCATGATTCGTAGGCAATCATCAATTTTTTTTACTTATATTAAATTTATTAATCAGAAATTATAGGCGAGTAATGTGTTTCAGATTTTATACCGCATGTGTATACAGTTAAAAAATTTGTGTTAAAAAGATGTCCCACACGATCCACACAGAATTGTGTTGATTTAACTATAATGAATATATGGATGTACATATATTCATATTAAATGTATTCATATATTATATGAAAACACAAATCTGTGTTAATATCTTAACACAAAATAAATGCAAAATTTCAAGTAATTCAAAATAAATTTTATGTAAAATTAACACAGTTTTAATGTAAAAATTGACTAAAAAGATGTTAATTTGAAACTTTATCATTCCCACTTATATTATAAAATAAAAAAATCAATATTTTTTTATTGTTGTTAATTTCGACAGATAAATTTTGTCACTAATAAAACAGAACATATTTATTGTATAAAATAAAAATTAGATGCACATTGTGTCATTTTTATATCTTTTTTTGGTCGTTTTAATAATTTAACATTCGAGTTCAATTAACGCAACAGCAATATGTTAAATTAACACATGAATGTTAAATATTTGGCAGAAAAATTTTAACGGACCGTTTTCAACGAGAAAACACAAATTTTCCTACCGCGCTCAGCAGTATATCCATGCATTGTATAATATTTTCACCTTTGCGGACGCGCAAAGTTTGTTCGCGCAACTTTTCGCCTCGGTCCGTGAAACACGAACTCGCGAAACGTTCTCCGGGGGACACGCGATTATATTGCGTTATATTGATTGACCATGGACAATCGGATTGGTATGTGACTGTGGTGGAATGCGTGACAGCGCATCCGGGATGACGGCGATTTGCGCGGATTCATCGTACCGCGGATTCGCGCACGCGAACAGACTGGCTTATTGGCATAATAACGTATCGATAACCAGCCGCGACGTGTGTCGCGCGATTGAATCGAGATCGACTTCCTCCCGGAGAGCAAATTCATATCCTTATATTTTCATTTGCGCAATCGTGCCTCGAGTTTTGTTGGCCTTCGCGAGCGGAATGCGGACGAACGATCGATCGGATTCATCGTCAGCAATTTTGAACGAACATCCTGCACTGTCAAAGGGACGTTGCAGCGTCAATTTATTGGCTTTAACCGATTTTTCTTCTCTCTCGCTCTTTCCAGATTTTTATTATTAGTATTCTTTATACACGCAGATATATATGATGAAAATAATTTTGTATATTTCTCGAATGCGATATTTCCAACTGTTTAATCAACTTCTCTCAACTTTGTGCTATTTTAATATGAAAATTCAAGAAAGTTTTCCGATCAGAGTTAGTGACAGAAATGTGACAGAAACTTTTATTTATAAATTGTGCCTTGATAAGTGCCTTCAAATATCATTAATTTGATGGTTCTATTTGCAGAAATTTGAAGAAGAATCTTATATTCCGAGCATCTTTGAGAATATTTCTCTAATAATTTTATTCTTACACGTTTATTAACAGTCACATTCGCCTTTCTTCCTATAATTTAATTGCGATACGTTTTAACCAAGGCTAAATATACTTGAACTAAATTTCGAGCTCAAATAACTTGCATTCTCACGATGCAATTATACAGCCATTCGAATATTCAACGACCTGTGTGAAAATAATAGATAATTAGAATATTAGATAATTAGAAAAATGAGAAAAATAATGTATTATAGATAATAAATATGCCATCGATCCACTGATAATACTCGCACTAACCTTCTATCACGTTTCTCGCGAACATACTTAAAGTTTCGCGGAACGTACATAATCAATGTGATAAAACTTAAATGCGTGTGTGCCGGTTAAGGTCGCACGGGAAACGTTAGACCTGTATAACGGATTGGATTACTTAATTTCGCTGTTTTAGCGGATCTCGCGTTTCGCGACATTACGTAGGACGAGTTGTAATACGAGAAAATTGTGCAAATTTCACGTCGATTTAATTAAAAATCAGATGGAATTCGTACAAATTACCCGTATAGCGCGAAATTTCTTCGAAATATGTACCACCAAGTTTTTTTTTTTTTTTTTTTTTTTTTGTAAAAACGTTATCCAAAGTTTTTTTGAAAACGAAACGGAGTCGAAAATTTCAAGGCATCGATCTCGTCTCTCCTTCATTTTGCACGTGTAAATATAGGTGTGCCACTTGGCACAGAAGAGCGCAGAAGAGATCAAGGTGCGCAAACGAGAGCCGTTATTCGCATACGGG